TATTTAAAAAGGGAGAAAACACTAATGTCCAGAACTATCGCCCAGTTGCAATTCTTAGTTCAATCTCAAAAGCATTAGGAAAACTTATTTATTCTAGAATTATGCAATATTTAGATTCTAACAAAACACTTGTAAATAACCACCATGGTTTTAGGAAAACGAAAAGTACACAAACAGCTTTAGTACAATTTATAAATAGAGTATAACGCGTTAGATAACGGACACAAGTGCATAGGCCTGTTCATGGACTTAAGCAAAGCTTTCGATTTAGTCAACTACAAAATCTTAGAACACAAATTATACAACTATGGTCTGCGTGGAAAATTAAGCGATTGGTTGATGTCTTACCTGGACAATAGAAGACAAGTTGTTGATATTAATGGCATATTATCAGACATTTTAGACACATCAATAGGGGTCCCACAAGGGTCCATTTTGGGCCCTTTGCTTTTCCTAATATATGTTAACGATCTTCCGGAAATTCATAACTTTGGCGATGATCTTACAATATATGCGGATGATAATAATTACCTATGCACTGATGATACATTAGATAATTGTCTAGTTAAACTACAATATATGATTAACAAATTTAAAAAATGGTTTTCATCAAATAAGTTATGTATGAATACGGAGAAAACAACATTTGTTCATTTTACACCTCGACCGATAACTGATGAATGCAATTTACTAAAAATAAATGGCAAATCCATACAACAGAGCCAGAACACAAAATTTTTGGGAATTCATATTGACGCTTCGCTAACATGGATGCAACATATAGATGAAACGTGTAAAAAAGTGTGTTCCTCTTGTTATGCATTGATACGTCTTAAACAATTATGCAATGAAAAAATTCTAATTTCCTACTATTATGGTTTGGTATACTCCCGAATTAAATATGGTATTATATTTTGGGGATCATCGCCCGATTTAATTAGACTTATCAGACTTCAAAAACGGCCTCTCAGAAATATCGCTGGCATTTCTAGATATGCTTCTTGTAGAAATATTTTTAAACAATTAAAAATATTAACGCTGCCCTGTATATATAGGTATATGGTTGAACTGCTAATATACGTAAAAACTAATTTAAATATGTTTATGACAAATGCAGATATTCACGATTATGATACCAGAAATAGCGATTCTTTAGTAATTCCGTCTCACAATTTGACATTATATGAAAGAAGTCCTTATTTTTTAGGAATTAAGTTGTATAATAAACTGGATTGGACTCTTAAAGAAATAAATAGTCCTAAATACTTTAAACGTAAAATAACGGACTTATTTTCAAGGAAAGCATTTTATACTGTTTCTGAGTTCCTTGATTCGTAGATAAATTATCTCCTTCATAAATATTATAATTATATTTTGGTTTATAAATAAGTTTGTTTTAGATTTTTTTTAAGTTTAGCATCTATTTCAGAATTTTAGTACTTTGTAGGGGAGCGCGGTGAGGGTCTGGACACTTTTTTTTTAATTTATCTAAAAATTGTAAAATTGTGTTTAGTAAACGAATTGACCCATTAATAAATTGATACATTAGTATTGTACAATTAAGGCATTATTCAAATAAATTCAATCATATTAAAACATATAGTAACCCATTTAGTGGTTATATGCAGAGTGTCCAGACCCTACCCACTGGTGGGGACGGTATGGACATAAATAAATTAATAATATCAGTACTAAATAAGCATTATATTTGTATTAAAATCATACCAATAATGAGTAACTTAGGAAGGTATTATAGAATAATACAAAAAATAAATAATTCTGAGCATTCGAACATATTTGAAACAGTAAAAAATATTAAATCAAGTTTAAGTAAAAAAAAATTAATTAAATCAAAATTTAAAAATTTGTATTGTTAAATCCAGATTAATATTATTAAAAAAGACTGTATTCTGTTAAATCCCGATTAAAATAAATCATGTCTTTGTATCTAGAGCTCCTATCAGCTATAGGATTTGGCAGCTGCACTACAATATCATTAAACGGAACGAAAGATGTAGGCTCTTCGGAATATTTAAATCTGTTAGAAGCTAACTGTTTTTTTAAAAACTTTACATTGTAGCCTCCAAACATTACTTCTTCTACTCTGGCTACAAATTGTCTTACAGACTTTTTACCGTAAACTTTGCAAATTAGAAAATGTCCGACCTCAAGATTCTCAGTGTTTTCAGATTCTTCTTCAATCTCTGGTTCCAATTCAGAGGATGAGTCCTGATAACTTAATTCTTCGTCACTTGAAGAAGATGATTCTACAAACACCTTTTTCTTAACCTGTTTTACTTTATTTTTATCAATCTTTGGCTTTGTTATCTTCATTTTCTTTTTTGCAATATTATCTCGTTCCGGTGTGTCTGTAGCAATGATTGATTTTTTTCGGAAAGGACCTCTATTGGCCACAGTAGGGGACTTCCTTTGGGGTGCTTTTGGTATATGGCAAAATTTTTGAAGGTGAAACATAACTTTCGTCGTCTGGTGCAGTAGATGGACCCGCTTTTGGATATAACAAAGCTTCAGCTTCAACTTCTTCGGAGGAAGCAGCTTTTGGTGACAAATTCGTAACTGGTATGTCATTGGATGCCGATTTTTCTGGTTCCGATGTAGATACAGGTCTATCAGTTACATAAGAACATAGGAAATCTTGTTCAGTAAATATGTTCTTGTCAAATGGCCATATCCCTGTACATCTAAAGCCAGATTTAATATTACTTGGAGTGGCACCTCTGTCCCATGCTTTACAACATATTGCTGGAAGGTCGTATATTGATAGGGTTTGTCCAGGATGAGAAAGCATCCACTCGTCAGCTCCCTGATTAAAGAAACGCTTAAAAGGTCCGAATACTGCTTTATCTAAAGGTTGTAAATGATCAGACGTGTGGGGAGGCAACGTTAAAAGTATTATTCCATTTTCTTTACAGTAATCTATCCCAGCGACTGACAGGTGCGATTCGTGATTATCCATGATAAGAACGACATTATGTTCAGCAGAACATCGAACGTGTTTAACAAAATGTTCTAAAACTTTAAGAAAATTGTCACTTGTCATCCATCCGCTCTGATGCACCAAGCTTATGGCACCGTATTCTGCAGGAACATTTTTTAACATTCTATGTGGGTCGTATTTTTTCGGGGGAATATCCAAACTGGCGGCAGAGTTGTACCGTTTGCTGCAATGATTCCAACTTGTGTTACTAACTCGCCCCTCTCCCGAGAGTAACTTGACCCACTTGGTGCTGCCCTTTTGTCGCAATTATCTTTTGTACTTTCTGGACTGTAGTAACACCAGTTTCATCCAAATTATAAATATCAGATGCCAAAAACTGGTGTCGTTTTAAAACAGATTCTAATTTGTTCTGAAAGTCACCTACAGTGGTTGGATTGAAGCTTGATATTCTAGCTAAACTGGTTGCTTCCGGCGTTCTTAAAGATAAATTAGGCTGGCGGGATAAAAAGCCAGTAAACCAATCTCGTCCAGCCTGATGATTTTTTTCCCATGCAGGTGGGGTTTTGACTTTATTTTTTTTAGCAAACTCGTAAGCTAACCGTCTCGTAGATTTAGGCGTTAAGCCATGGTACATGTTTGAGCAATTTCTAAGGTAATTAGCCATTGCGGATTCTAACTCATCTGAAAACACTTGTGTTGTTACATATTGTGGAGAAAATTTTACATTTTCTATTCCGCTTTCCCTGCTTTTCTTAACATAAACTGCTAAAGTTGATTTTCGAACATTATGTTGAATTGCATTCTGTCTTACAGACAGTCGTCCCAACAAAACATCTTCTGTGGCATTTTTCATATTTTCCGCAGGAAAAGATCTGTCTGTCACCCTTCGGTACTTCCTAGGCATGTTTCTGAAAAATAACACATAACCATTGATAGAAGTGGGACCCTCTGGACAAATACGGGACGGTCTGGACAACTGTCCTGACCCTCCCTCAAGAACACATTGACAAAAAATTATTTGTATTACAAAATGTTTATTAAATCAAATATGAACAATATATCAATATGACCTATAGACTTACCTTAAGGTGTGGCCACAAAATAAATAATTAATAACAAGCTGGAATCAAAATATCCTTTATATTCTTGCACACAAATAATAGGTCCCAACACTCCCAAATCAAAAAATGTTTATTAAAGTCAAACACGAAATGTGATTCGTACGGCGTCTAGTCGAGTACTAACTCGACTAAAAATCAAATGTTTTGACGCTACACAGATAATGCACGTGTATTATGACCAGGAAATTTTGAAGTGTCCATACCCTCCCGTCGTCCAGACCCTCACCGCGCTCCCCTATTTTCTATTCTACCTCATTAAATTGTACACCATGTTTTGACTTTTCCCATACCTGTACAAGGTCTCTTGGAATTAAAGATTTATTTATTTATTACATTGTAATAATATATTGTTTATTATTAACAGCGTTTTTAATATTTGGACCTTAGAGACAATAGTCCATTTTAAAATTTTTACAGGAGAGCTTGTTGAAACTTTTGACTGCCTGTATTTTTAATTCGACTTAATATTGGTTTTAAAAATATATCTGGAAAACTATAGATAATAGGACTTAATACTTAGCCCCAGTGGAAGGAACAGGAAAAATTATGTAAGAGTACCTAACCAAAAACTTGAAAATGAAAAAAGATGGACTTATAATACTGTTTGGCTCTGAGGTCCAGATATTAAGATTTGAAATTTTAAAATGAATGTTATTTAAATCGATATTTTGAAAATCCTTTGTTTAAAAATATGGTTTAAATTTTTTCAATTCTTGCAATGAAATATTCGATTATTGTTCAGTACCATGAAGGGTGGCCTGTAGCTATTCAATTCATACTTAATCCCAATATGATATTATTGACATTCAAATAAGTAGTTTCATAAACAAAAATTTTTTTGGTTAGTTACAGAATCGTTGGAGGCTCACCAGCTTTCTATGAAATTAAGTAATCCCAGCAGTTAAAAAAACACATTTTAGGACAAAAATATTTAATTAAAAAAAAATAGTTTAAATATTTCCAAAATAATTATTAACAATCCTCTGTTGATTACGCCTGGCCCTTTGTAAATCAGGGTTTTTACCAGGAATTAACTGAAGGTCCATACAATCATGATATATCCCAAAGTCTATTTCTTCTTCATCACCTTCTTCCCGAGGTGGTACATCCACATTGTACTCAATGCACATGTTATGCAAAACAGCACAAGCATTTGTAATTTTGCCTGCTTTCTCTGGGGTATGATGCAAAACTCGAGGTTTTAATAGACATCTCCACCTCATTTTCAACAAACCGTTGCAGCGTTCTATCAAACATCTTGCATTTCTGAAGGCTTGATTGTATCGGAATTCTGGTGTGCCTTCTTGAGCATCAGGAATAGGTACATGTAACCAAGGGCGGTGTGGATATTCGGAGTCCCCTAAAAGTAAAATACTTTAAATATTTTTGTTTATAAGCACTATAGGCACACATATAAGGTTATGATGATCTGGTGGATATTTAAGAGCCCCGCACACCACATATATTTCGTTTTTTGACCGTAACGTCCTTATTTTTAAAAAAAAATTTTTTTCACTGCCCGATTGGTAATTTTTATACAAGTGGCGCTTGTTTTTTACATTTTGAAAAAAAAAAATCTAAATGATAAAAATTAAAATTCTAAAAAACACGCGCCTTTATAAGTAAAATTTAAAACCGATTTAAAAAACGAGATTTTTTTGTCCCAAAATAAGGGAGATATGATCAAAATAAAATTTAAATTGCCACTGATTTTTGCTGCCATCGTAAATTACGGCGGTTTTTTTGGAACTAAGTAATACGTAGACCATCAGAGACGGATTCTCAGTATATACACTGAAAAACATAACAGTGAAAGTGCTAAGCATAGATATTTTATTGAAACGCATACAATTAACGATTAAACGAATACAATGCTAAAATGCATGTATTTTATTAGAATCTCTTCGTTTGAAAATTAGCAAAATAATTTTAATTCCGTAAAGAATTTTTATAATCAATATACCTAAATTTGAGCAAATTGGTTTTGTAAGAAATCTTAGTTCCAAACAAGAAATATAATTTACTATTTACCTACTACCTACCTATGATAATTATTTATTACGCCGACCGGATACTGAAAAACAGGGTAAAAGAAAGAAGGAGATCAAACACATCCCCAACTAGCCATTCATAAAAGTGTATTTGTTGTGAAGTTCTCATCATCATCATCTATTGTATAGTCCAGGAGACAGTGACGATTTTCGGTATTTATTTTCCCAGTCAGCAAGCACGAATAGAGAATTGTAGGATTAGCAATTCTAAGCAAAATTCATATATATTTAGAGGGGGGATCCGATGGGCCCTTTTTTTTCATTGATAAAAATAGTTTTAGTAGTAAGAGATGTACTGAAGTTAAGTAAAAAAATAGTCTGATTAATCTGTATGGATAATATATTTGGCAAGTGCATAAAATACACTTTCAAACGAGTTATGTACACAATTATTTCTACGACCACAATTATTTAAAGAATGTTCCAGGTGTTTTGTATATTAAAGTGTACGCATAGGACACATAAATAAAATCTTATATCACAATGTTTCACCTAACCAGTTGGTTTATTTATAGAAATTAAACATAATAATTGAAGATATTACAGAAGAAAATAGGGAAATAAATTACATTTCCTTTTACACTTTTATATAATAATTGTTTTATTTAGAATTCACGAATCACTACATTAATTATAATTATTGTTAGTTTCGTTATGTCAAATCATTTATACTAGAGGTGTGAGGAAAATACAGTGAACTGTGGAACGCCAATAGAAATGGTCCTATAATACTGCTAAAAACATAGCTAAATTTTCATGGAAACACTGTACTTTTGACATTTGCAATACTCCGACGCATATGCATTATTGATGTAATCTCATGATTTTACAGTAATAGTTTTTGCAATTTTAGTGTGTTTTTAGGTTATTATGGTTATTCATTTTATTTGGTTCTGATCTTTTGCGCTTTTAGAGTATTTGTCTTTTATATAGTTTTTAATTTGAATTTTAATATTGTGGTCTATTTATATTTGATTGCTGCTTTTCGACTAGTGCTTTATTCTTTTTGTCTTAAAATAAGCTTTATAACCATTAAGTACATGCTTCTAGTTGATATCTACCTAATCGTCATCGGGTGCTTGCAACAATGGGAAAAAGTGTATGGTTTTTTTGGTGTAAAGTTATTTATAGTTATTTTTTACTTAAAAGGATAGCAATACGTCCTGGTTCGGGGTGTGACTTTTGACTATCTGAGCCAAATTGTCGGCTAAGTGTCCTCTTTTAGGGCACCCAGAACCGAAAACTATATAGGTATATAATATGTTTTTTTTAAAATTATTTTTTAATATGTATGCAGCTTGGATGAGGGCTTTAGGAAGAGATCCTAAGACTGAACAATAACTGCTATAAATGCCGTTTTTAGAGCACATTTCATAGTAAGTGATTTCATTCTAGCAGCAATGAGGAAACGTTTAAAAAACATGCTGTACCAGCTATTACCTTAAGATCTCGTCTCTTTAAGTTATTATTACTTCATTCTAATGCATATATTAAAATGGTTTTTAACTTATGTCCTTATGATTAAAAGATGTAGGTATTTTAGTTATGTTATAATAGAAATATATGATACTTTGTATTGACTGACCTACTGGCCACTGGTCATTCCACTTTTACCCCCTTTTTTCATAAATTATTAAATAATTTAAAAACAAATACATACCTAGCTATTTTCTGTAAATTACATTAAAATTTTAGTATTAATACTTTACTAATAAAACTTCAGTTAATTTATCTTATATACAGGGTGGCTCACGCTCAACGGGACGGAGCTTTATGGGAAAACGACCAAAGATATAAAAAATTCGTTTGGGAGGAATACGTAGGTTACAGACGGCTACAATTTAAAATTTGTTAGATGTATACAGGATGTTCCACATAAGAGAAAATATACAAAGTTATATTATTTTTAATGGAACACCCTGTTTTTTATTTTAGAATTAAAAACTACATCAAAAATAATGTCAGTTAACTAAAGGTTCCCTATTACTATTATTATTAGTTTTCGATTTATTTGAATTTTTAAGAAAAAAAAGTCTCCCAGAAATTGTTTACTCTTGTTTGAATAATTTTTAATGAACTAATTTTTTTTTTCTTATGTGGGACATCCTGTATACATCTAATAAATTTTAAATTGTAGCCGTCTGTAACCTACGTATTCCTCCCAAACGAATTTTTTATATCTTTGGTCGTTTTCCCATAAAGCTCCGTCCCGTTGAGCGTGAGCCACCCTGTATATACACAACGGAAGAGTTAATTGGATTTTCTCCTTGTTGAGTTTCAAAAATAGTAATTTAACATGATTTAAAAACAAATACATGAAATGGGCAAAATAGGCCTGCAAAGGCACTTTGTAAACAATCTCACTTGTATCGATGTGACGTAATGCGCGAATTAAATCTGGCTTACTTTTGTTAATAGATTGGCGTTCCATTTTAAATATACAGTTCACCGGGAATAGATTATTTAAATATACACGGACCGGGAAAACAAGTACGAAAAAATTCACTGGCTCCTGGACTAGTACTGTATCGAAGGAATTTTTATGAATGAAACAATATACGACCCTCCACAATTGCGGTCTACTCTACTTCCGCTGTTGTCAGACATTATTTTTTTTTTGGACAATTTAAAGACCTAACAGTAATTCAAGCAAACGCAATAACATTACTACAGTTTAAAAACATCGCAAACTTGGCATCAATATTTTAATTTTATCCAAATATTGCATTTCTGTCGAGGATCATCCGCGTTGACTTCAGAAATTGTGTAATCTGTATTGGTTATATATATCTATAGTTAAAAGCACGTAAACTTGGCATCAATGTTCAATCCGATTATTGAGTTTCTACCGCGGACACCACCGTTCATTCTTCAAAAATTTTGTAAATAATCCTATCTGTCTTGGTTATATATCTATGAGATCAAACGCTTGACGATGGTGGACACGCCCACTGTTTTCCTAATTATAATAATATTTATTCAAGAATAATACAAGTTACGAAGTAATAGAAATAACAATTTCAAATAAATAAATATTAATACTCAATAAGTGCCAATGAGGCACTTGTTTTGAGAACAAATATAAATATAAAAAAATATATACATACAAAATAAAATTAATGCATTACAGAAAATATATATATAAAAGATAAAAGGATTATTGGACAAATACCGCAAAAAAATGAAAAAAATTTTGTGAACTTTTGTGAGAAATATAAAGAATTATGGTGCACGCATGTGTAGTGTTCAAAAAGGTAGATCATTTAAGGAGGTCCTTTCGCCACCAATGTTAAATAAAATTTAAAATATTAGATTATGACTAAAATTAATTTTTTTCTAATAGTTGAAGTCCTTATTTATCTAATAATGAACTTTTAACTATACCTTACCGTGCAAATTTTTGAGAATTTTTTTTTTAAAATGTGAGTATTTGTACAGTGTCTTACGAGAAAGTAAGACTTCAACAACAATTTTCGAATTATAATTAAGTATTCTATTATTTATTGATTAGATGGAGTAGAAAAAAAACTAAAAATAAGGTTTTTGAAATATTTAGGTTTTGTTTTTTACAATAAAATATATAGGTTACGGTGGAATTTATTGAGAAATTAATATTAAAAAATCACAAAAACTAGGTTATGTGAATTTTTTTTTAATATTAATTTCTCAATAAATTCCACGGTAACCTATATATTTTATTTTAAAAAACAATAACAAAATATTACAAAATCTTATTTTTAGTTTTTTTTTATACTCCATCTAATCAATAAATAATAGTATAATTCGAGAATTGTTGTTAAGGTCTTACTTTCTCGTAAGACACTGTACAAATACTCACATTTAAAAAAAAAATCTCAAAATTTGCACGGTAAGGTATAGTTAAAAGTTCACTATTAGATAAATAAGGACTTTAACTATTAGAAAAAAAATAAATTTTAGTCATAATCTAATATTTTTTATTTAACATTGGTGGCGAAAGGGGAGGCGAAAGGACCTCCTTAAGTCGAAATGTATGGTTTCATCGGTAAGTATTTTTAGGTTAAGATATGTTGTTTTCATTTGAACCAGTGGAGTAGGGCGTACAAGATTTGATACAATTTCTTATAGAATTTAAATTATATAGGATCACATAGTAAATTGTTTGAAAAATGATTATCCAATCTAATTTTTCAGACAATTTACTGCAGGTTTGATAATATACAATTTAAATTGTACAAGAAATTGTATCAAAAACTTGTGTAGTCTAAAACAGTTTTTAAAGTGATATTCCTTTTATAAATTAGTAAATTTTTCTTATACCAATAAATAATTATTGAATAGTGGCAAAGAAAATTTAACGTAAAATGTAGAATACCTTAAAAATGATTTACCTATTGAGCACCTATACATATTTTGTATTACTCTATTTAGGTTTCCGCAAGATCCTGAGAAAAGAAAACTTTGGTTTTCTCTAATAGGAATCCTTGAAAATCAGCCCCTTCGTAAAAACCCAGAGTTGTGTTTAGAACACTGTTATCCTGAAAATGTTTTGGTACGTGCAAATGGTACTAGATATATTAGAAAAGATGCAAAGTCCAGACGGTGTGAGGGCTTTTTATTTTTGGATGACTTATCCAACAGGTAAAAATACAAAATATTAATTTTTTGTTTACCTCTAAACATTATTTATTACCTATATGTATGTATATCTAATGTTTGGGTTTTTAGTTCTGATTCAACTGTTTTTGGAACACCACCTGCTGCAAAAAGAAACGTTGCAGTAAGTTATAACATTAATAACTAAGCATAAAAAAATTAAATGAAATTTTAGTTAATAAAATTAAAGTATTTTATATATTTAAAACATTATTTTAAAAATTTTTAAAGTTTTTTTTTGCCATACCATGTTTTTTTGTAATTGTTAATTAAAAACTTATATATTTTTAGGACAGTGTTTTATTTAGATACCCCTACCTACTTAATGTTAATTTAAAATTTTAAATAATTTTGGTTAACATCATACCAGGCAAATATATAGTAAATGCCAATAAACTATAAACCAATAAATATTAAAAATCGAAAGGTAACTTGAATTCGCTTGTACTTGAATTTACCTACATGAAAAATCAGCAAGTATCATGCAAAACTATTGTCATATACTCTGAAGGCAATTCTCTCACCAGAAATCAAATCACGACTGGTGAAAGACTGTCTAGAAGACCTGACAGAGCTAAGTAGTTAAAATAAGATGACTTTAGCCTGGGTTCCAGGCCATGAGAGATATCAGGGCAACGAAAAGGCCGACGAATTAGCCCGAGGAGGCTCAGATAAGGCCATGACAGGCCCCGGACCCTTCTGTGGAGTTGCTAAGGCATTGTGCAAGGCATCCATTAAACAATGGATGCAAACAGAGTCTCATAAATGGTGGAACAACTATCCAAGATTGAGACAGGCCAAACAGTTCATCAAGGAACCATCGGCCAAGTTCACGAAAGACCTACTGGATCAAAAGCGTCAAATCGTTAGGATAACAGTAGGCCTTCTTACTGGACACTGTCGCCTCAAAAGGCACATGAGTGTCATAAATCCAGCAGAAGAAGCAACTTTGTGCAGGTTCTGTGAAGAAGAAGAGGAAACAATATTCCACGTCCTGTGCCAATGTGAATGCCTGGTTGGAACTCATAATCTAATCTACCTACATGAAAAAATCATCATAAATATATTACTAAAAAAATATACCTACATATTTACGTATTTTTTTAACATACTACTCTGACAATACTAGTAAGTTTAAAACTCTTCGCCACTGGCGAGCATATTATGGACACTGTTTACAACGTTGCCAGCCGGTCATAAGAGATCTGTCTTTCTCTCTTCCACTTACTAACAATTTTAAAACAATAACAGTCCGCAATTGTATGGAATTTATGAATGAAACATTTTGTCTATATGTTGTAATGTCTTTGTTGATTGTACTTTTCAGAGTTATATGTGAAACACCAACATGATGCCGACGAACAGCCGGGGTATTCACGCATCGTCATCAATACGTGCTCATCTCCCTGACCAGAGGCGACTCTAGGTAAAATTGCTAACAATATATATTCTAAGATTAGAACACATACATTTGCACATTTTTTAGCTTTTATTTCGACTTTTATTAAATTAAAAAATACAGAATATATTTACCACTTTAAACTGCTATAAGCAATTTCGGCACTTATAAATATGTTAATACGATCTATTCTTCTGTACATCAAGCATATAGTGACATAATGTTAGTTTATCTTAATTATCTCGCTTATGACTTAAGATAAAATTATTATTTTGAAAACTATTAGAATCCTTAAGCTTTTGTTTAATAATAATCAAGAATACATTTTTACAAATTTTTGCAGTTTTCGTCAAATTGGAGTATAAGTTTAAATTCGGTAAAACACAGTTTTTTTTGCCAACCGTCGCGTCGCTTCTATTACTCGTATTTATATTCGCATATCCCAATTTACAAACAACTTTTTCAGTGTATTCTCAGTTGATATTGTTTCGATGAAAAGAGACGGATGCTAGACACGACGTGACCAGTAAATCCCGCATTTGAATTGATCAGCTGGTATGCGGGACTCTTAATATTTTCTTCAAAGGATCCACTAATCAGAACACATGATTTGAATATCTGACTTTCTTTTTTATAGTCTTCATTATTTTAACGGCCTATCTTTTCACATCTGAGTAAAGTTAAAAGTAACTACTTGCTGAATAAACTTTAGGGCTATTTTTTGTTATTCTGTCAAGTAAACCTACATGTAACTTTACTCACAGGTGAAAAGATCAGCCCTTAATGTATACTTTTAAGAACAAACTTACCTATTAAATAAAATTCTGGTCTTCTTTGGTGTAGATTTTTAATTGCTGTGCTTAATGCGGACTTATTCCAAATATGGACATCACCAGTACTGCCTGGGAATTTGGCATTTATGTTTATGATTTTAAGATTGATGTCACACACTAACTGAACATTGAGAGAGTGGTAGTCTTTACGATTGACATATATATGCGCGTCATTATGCCGGGGTGGTGGAATGATGGCAATATGGGTACAGTCAATTACTCCTATTATCCCAGGAATGTTGTATTGTTGAAAAAAGCTAAAATAAATAATAAAGAACGTTAGTAAAATGGGGAAGTTTATCTACCCATTTTATTACAAAGAATTAAGACATATTTCTTACTCTGTTCGAATTTGTTCCAGTTCTGCTATGGTCTGTGGGAATTTAACCCATTTATTAAATATTATGGCATTATTTAATGCATTACAAACTTCCTCTACACATCTGCTTACCGTTGATTGACTTACACCCCCACACAGTACGTTGCTACCCACATTACTTTGATAGGAACCAGTAGCGAAAAAATTTAAGGCAACCAAAACCTAAAATTAGTTACTTAGTAAAGATTGATACCATTACTACTACAATAGATACAAAATTACCTTTAATTGTTTACTAATTGCAGATCTTCTACTTGGTGGTAATAATAATGGATCCAACAAAGTGATTAAGAATCTAGCCAATTCTTTATTCACTCGGAAATTTTTTATAAATAATTCATCACTTAAAAACTCGAAGGGATCATTCTTCACAAAATATCTTCGATTTTGTACTAACTCTGGTACTGCATCAATCAGATTCCCAAAAATAAACGCTCTTCGTAAATGTTCCATAATAAATAAGAGTGGTCGTTGAAAATTAATTTTTTTCCGACGTCCTAAAAAAACCTTCCTTTTGATGAAAAAATACGGATTATTATTTTTTTTTTTTTGAACAAGAACACGTGACGCTAGTTTATTTTTTTCATAAAATCGTAGTTTTTTCAAAATATCTCTTAAAGTAGACGGATTTGAGAAAAAATCATTGAGAGCAATTTTGTAGAAAATTCCACACCTGTAATTTTGAACCAATCAAAATACGTGTTTTTGACAGATCACCATGGCAACGGAGGTATTTTAGTGGAAATTTTTTTCTCGTGGGGTACCCAACAGCGAATTATACTGGAAATTTTTTGACGTTTACAATAACAGACCATTTTTGACAGACTGGTTTTTATTCGTTCACATAATAGGTTTAGTTTTGATACATTTTAGTTACAATGCTAAGGTGTTGTCTATATTCTTCGGCCACTTCTTTTCTTCTTAATGGCGAAAATGCAGGACTTTGGATGCTTTGAATTATGTGTCTATGTCTAATAAAATATATATAATATTTAGACACTAATTTATTCACCTTTTTCCCATTCAGCACTTTGAATTTTGCGTAGTTTAGGTGCAAATATTCGTGGACAATTCGGAACAAATTTTCGTTTTTCAAGTTGGAGCCACAATCCTCTATTAATCCGAGTAAGTAAGTCATGGTGCAATGATTGATCATTACATCAGACAATAATTTCACGCATATTTTGCATAGCGTATGATTTTCAAATCGATTCATTTTTAAACAAATAGGTAATTTTGTTGGTTTTACTTGCTGTGCAATATTCTTTATCGCAACAAAACGCGAGTTATTTAATGTTTTGAACTGTCAAAATACAATGATCACAGTCTCCTACGATTGATGCTTGCTGACGCTGGTTATGAATTTCATACCATTTTAAAGCGCTCATAACGCATGTAAATAAAAACGCAGAAAAATAATTTTCTACCACTTGTAGTTATTCAAAATTTACGTAAAATTAAAGAATATACTATTTTCTATTTTCAAATGGTATTCCCATGCAACTACAATGAGTAGAAATAAGCAATTTGAAAGCCTAAATAATTGCAGCGAAACATTTTTTTACGTCGGGCCGCTTGACAACTTCAAAACTGAAATTATATTCGAGGTTAGGGTTTCACTTAGTTACCATGACAACTCAACAATCAAGGCGACAACACCTTTTATGTTTCACTGGTGACTTGGAGAAAATAATTTGCATTGTTGAGAAACGAAAAATAAATTTTAAAAATATTTAATTTTCAACCATAATTCGGCGTGGAATTTTCTTACCGAATACCACGCGAGGTCAAATTAATATCAGGAAATTTTTTCTCGCTCATGAATATTTTTAGAAAATTTTCATGAGCGAGAAAAAAATTCCGGAAATAATTTGACCTCTAGTGGTATTACTAGTGAAAATACAATTCTCTACAAAAGTTTTTTTTTATAAAGTTCATATTTATGGAGATATTTTCAATAATGAACTAACTCATTAACTCCATAAAATCAAAATTTTGAAATTTTTTCTCAAAACCTTCTATTTTCAGAGATATTTTGAAAAATCACAATTTTATGAAAAAATTGCGTCACGTGTTCTTGTTATTAAAAAAAAAAAATTCCCCGTATTTTTTCATCAAAAGGAAGGTTTTTTTTAGGCCGTCGGAAAAAATTTAATTTTTAACGACCACTCTGATAAATAATTTGCAATTATGTGTAGATACCTCTTTACTTAAGTCAAAATTAAACATTAATGTCTTTTCTCTGATAAATACAGACGTGAGCTATATGCACGTTTTTATTTATTTTATCGACTGTGCATGGACTATGAAGGTTATGTATGTTATAAGGTTATGCCGCGCCGAAAGAATCAAATTTCTCCAAGAAAATACCAGGAGTAATATTTCTCCAGTTTTATGAGAGATTCTTTTCTGTACACAAAATCTAGACTAACAATCGCGCGATATGTTGAAAAAATTACGTCATTTTCTTTAGATGTCCATAATCGGGCCCCTGGGTTCGATTCCCGGTTACGAGAGGCTTTTTTCAAATCATTAGTTTTCACTTTTGGGGTTCGGGGATGGTTTTAATAATTCGTAGGGGGATTTTTGAGATTAGTTTTTGAATTTTCATATTATTTAAAAACTTATTTCAGATAATTCTGACCTTTCGGATTTCGATTTGCGATATATTAAATTTACAACCCAGCAAACATTTTCTATAACATTAGTTATAACTCGACTTTGTTAAAGACGAATTTACTTATTGAGGTAATTATTACGTAAAATTGACTAGAAAAATATACCTCTAATATAAATTTACCAAACAGTTTTAATTTATAATTAAATTTACGTAAATTTTACCAAGAAATCTACCTTTTACACAAATCTGCTTAAAAGTAACTTTAACCATATCAGCAAGGGAAAAACTACTAAAAAATATAACCAACAATTACTTTAAAGTTAAATTTCCTTTGTAGTAAAATTAGGTGCCCTATTTAGGTTATATCTACCTGTTTGGCAACTAAAAATCGTCTTTATAGTAGAATATCCAACTAGGTAGATGTGGTTAAAAATTCTACGTAATTTTATGCCTCCATAGTAACCTATTTGGCCGCTTTTATTTACTCTCCTTTAAAGTAATATTAGGTCGAGATCGTAGCAAAATTCTACCTGTTTACCTACCTAATTTCAACCAAATAGTCGAATACTCATTTAGTTGACCTATAAGTCATCTTGAAGAAATATTTATTAACTTTGTTGTAGCAATTACCTGAAAAATCTACCACAAAGTAAATTCGACTAAAAACCACCAATTTAAAAAGAGTCATACATGACCTATTTGTAAAATTTATATTATTTAGGTTATTTTAACAATTAGGTTGTTCAGTTACTGTCTTCGTCATTATTCTTAAGAATTTCGGCCATTTTAAAAAAACCATTACAGTTGTAATCTTAATTTACATGTGGTGTAGATAGCTTTAAATGAGTGCGAAAAATAATTAATAAAATGAATTCGAAAAATAATAAATCATATCGTTATACTTCCGATTTTATCGTAAAGTGAAACGTCTAAAATCTCAAGTGCAGAACAACGTGATCTAAATATGTTATATTTACCTATAGGTAAATTTTTTATAAAACCTATAAGTTATTATTTCTTTAAATAGGTAAAGTTAACTAATATGTCGTGAAATTGAAGTTAATTCAACTTAGTAAAAAGGTATTTGTAAAATACGTAGATTTCCTTAGTCATAATAACTTTTAGGTCGAATTCGCACAATACGCCATATTTTCTTATCGTAATTGAAGTACGATTCCAAATTTAAAATTTTTAAAATGACCATAACTAAAACATACGAATGAAAATACCGAAAAACGAAACATTATTGATTTTCTAAAGTGATACACAACAAACGTAACATAGTTTTAGTTCATAATATTATTATTATTTTTTTACACGATCATATTTTTTTCTTATATTTTTTTAATTAGAGAGTATTTTGGAAGGGCATTGTTATTTTTCTAAGTAGAACTGTTAACATGCACGACAAAATTTTCTTCGCATTAATTTCAACAAGCGTGAACTGTATAATCACCGCAATTACATTACATATATTTTTGTCACCGACATTTATTTATTTTCAATCTTTCATGTGAATTAGGTATATGTTTTAGTTGTGTTGGGGACTTCTTACAATATTTCTACTTATATATAGATAAAAATACCAAATAAGTATAAAATTTCTTTTCGTACACTTGGAGGCATACGTCATCTGCAAATATTTTGGTAGTTTCTACCTAAACTTAGTTAAATCAACGTCGAATTAACATACTGACGTCAAATTTCCCTAGAGAGGTATTACTAACCAAACGTACTGGGCTACTACAATGTGGATTTAGATGTAATTCTACCTATTTTGGTAAATAAAACCAAATTTCGACGTCGCCTTATTCTCCACTTATGTCGAATCCACGTCGAGCCAACGTAAATTTTACTTAATTATGGTTAAATTTAATTTTGCGACCAAATTTATTATATATAATTTAGGTAGTATCGACGTCAAATTACACCAAAATGTTTGCTGGGAATGTTCATTAAATATATCGTTTTATTTGTAATTTGTATTTGTAACGAGTAGGTATTAGTTTAATTTGTATTTTAACTATATTTTGCAAAATAATCAAATGTTATTTCAGATTTCAGACTTTTTTTTAAACATTGATTAACATAAAAAAAATCACTTGATTAAAATCATTTAAATTAAATCAAATTATTTAATTGAAATGATGTAAATCAGACGAACTCTGGTTGTAACTAACTTTTTTTTGGCGTACTATAAACTGTCTGTTGTATAAAAAACGTACACAACCTAAATGTAAACTAAAAAAACTTACCGGTAGAAGCTAGTTTATTCTAAAATAATAGGGTTTCTCCAAAAAATGTTAATTGTAAGCAAGGGCGGATTTAGCTTTTTTTATGGGAGGGGTAAAATTTACCAAGATTACATATTCAAAATAAAATTTTATTAATATTACAAAAATACTAGGACAGTACCTAGAACTAAAAATAGTTAAAACAAAAAACACTTTTAAACTGTTACTAGGTATTAAAAGTTTAGTCAAGTAAGGAAGCTGTATACACTTGTCTTTTAATAAAAAAATAATTTAAGGCGCTGCAAAATAATAAACGTGTATTTCTCATTTCTATTTTATGAAACCATTTTAAAATTAATTTTTTACCCTGTAAAAATGTAATAAAAATTAAAATTTAAAATGCTCTACAACTTCCTTATTTTCGATGTAAAAAAGGAACAAGAAACCAATAAAATTTTAAATGAAATTACCGTTAAAATATATTTAACATAACTTACCTTACCCTCCTAAGTCAAAAAGGGTCCCACTGCGCATAAAAACGTAAAATTAATGAGAACTTTACATCACATTGTTACATTGTAACTCTCATTTTTACTCTTGTTTTCATCTGTAGGAGTCTAAGCCCAGAGTAGGGACGTTTACTTTTGTGATGAAACAATGTAGACGTTGCGGTGATATTACAGCGTTACCATGTTACGTTATTCAACGTTAATGGAAGTTCCCAAAAATTATATCTTTTTAACAAACCAGATGTGACATTCTTGTTATATCCAAGAAAGTCTTTTTTCTTGTAGATGTTATAAGAAAAGCCCATAAAATAAAATCATATTAATGAACCAAATGTGACGTTTCAAATACAAAATACAATTCATACCTGTTTATTTTTATCTTTTAAATTTTATATGGAATATGGACCATGTTATATAAATATTTTATATTTCATCTATATAAAACTATAAAAATAAATAAACTTGAAGTTAAAAGCTTAGAAGACAAGTTGAACTTCTAATTCCTAATCCCAGAAAATTTTACAGAAAAAGTATAATAATACAATGGTCTAAATTAATATCAAAGGTAAAAGTAAGAACTTTGATGAAATACTTAATACTGAGCAACATACTGCTCCATAATATACAGTACTACCGGTTACGTAAGTAGCAAGCGATCATTGGTATCTCCATCTATGAACGCGGGACGAACTGTTAGGTCTGCGATGTAAAGACTAAAGATGGGTAACTTGTACACATTACTGTGCTGACCTGTATGCGATATTATTGTGATTTATAAAAATTAACATCGTATAAATGTTTGTCACAGGAAATATCTAAAAAGAAGTACAAAAGATGTTTATGTAACTGCTAATTCAAGTATTGCAGCGTACAAAAAACTTCATTTGTAGATATATGCGAGGAATGTTAATGAATATGAAGGTAAACTTTAAATATCTATGAGATATTTTGGTATTGTTTCAAAAATATATCAAAAAAAGTCTCTATGAGAAACGTTACAAAAAAGACTGGTAATGTTTCATGTTTAGTGGGGTATTTCAGCTGAAGCGAGTTTCGAGAGAAAGCATATTTTCTAAAACTTGTTTTTGCGTTCCCTCAAGTCGAAAAAATAATTTAGGTACTGTTGGATTACTTTAAATTATTTTTTCTTTTTGAATTTCTTGTGTCTTAATATGGATATGCAGTCATTTGGCTTAGTATTACTGTCATACACCTAACTCTTTTAGTAAATACAAGTGAATTTGTCTTTTTTTTAAAGTTTTTCAAGCTATCTGATGCGTTAAAAAATAAAAAAATGTATTTTTTTGAGATACCGCTTTTTGGCTTAGAAGGGCAGACTACAAAATCAGCCTACCTTTTTATAAGTTTCATAAGTTTTTAAAAAAAATATAATCATGGGGGGAGGTAATTACCCCCAGTACTAACCCCCCCCGTAAGTCCGCCCTTGATTGTAAGACCGTAATTTGTTGCTTCTCACATTCGAATCAAATTCGCTACTGCCTTCAAAATTTGTAAAATATGCGCAGGCACGTCTTTTGAACCGAGATGGTCCCTAATAGGTAGGCAACACTAAATGCCAAAACACTGTCAAAGTTACGAGAATTTTTGACTCGTACCCTACTTACTTTTCTGTTATTTACGTTCTTTATTTTTCCTACTAGATAGTACTTACTTTCTTTTCCCGAAAGATGATTATTTTCATGTCGCTTAAGACTGTCCTTGGCGGAACAAAAAAATCCACAAATATGACACATAAAACTAGGTTCTGAACTATGTCTCTGAAGGTGCACTTGAAGCTGACATGCATAGTAGAAGCTCTTTCCACATAATTCGCAAACCTTGTTTTTAATACCTTTATGTGTCAGTGTGTGATCATTCAAATTTGATCTACTGCGATAACGTTTTCCGCAAATATCGCAAACGTGGGGTCTTTCTTTGCCGTGGATTATCATGTGGGCTTTCAGTCGGTCTAAAATAACAAAGTAATAATCAGGTTTAAGTGGACTCTCTAAAAATCAAAATCTCAAATATTTATAGCCGGGTAAAACACAAAAAAATAGCAAATTAGAAAAAACAATTAGATTCTTAGCAAACGTATTAATTACAATTTTTCAAATATCAGCAAAATTTATAAACTAATACCAGAAGGTAGTAATAATTTTCATGTTCTTTGAAATTTTACGTTTTCAAAATTAACATTTTGGGCGAAATTCAACATTTTGTTGTTAGGGAAAATATGGAACGAACAAAATGAAAAAACTTGACACTAATAACGTGTATTCCCTCCTCTTGCATTGATGACTGCTTGAAGTCGGCATACTTTGAATTAAGTTGCAGATCACATTCTGGTCGATGTTATCCCATTCCTGCAACAGCAATCTTCTCAGCTCCTGGGCAGTTCTTGGTGGTGGTGTGTGTCTGCGGATCCGTCGTCCCAACTCGTCCCATGGGATTCATATCTGGGCTGCGGACTGGCCAGTCAAACCGCCTAATTCCTACCTCATCCAGATACCCCCTGACAATTCTGGCTGTATGTGGTCTCGCATTATCTTGCATAAAAATGCCACGTTCTCCCATAGTCACCATGAAAGGCATAACATGGTCTTCTAGCACCTCCGTAATGTACCTGTGAGGTTAGGGAGCCATTTTCTATAAAGACCAACTCTGTACGAGCTTGTGCAGTGATTCCCGCCCAAACCATAACTGACCCACCGCCAAATGGAAGACGCTCGTCAATGCAAACTTCAGAATATCTTTCCCCAGGTCTTCTCCACACTCGTCGACGTCCATCTGACCCAGTGAGGCAAAAACGCGACTCATCTGAGAACAATACCCAGCTCCAGTCATCATCATTCCAACGAACGTGATCTCTGGTAAATGTCAATCTTGCAGTTCGATGCTGGCGTTGCAACGGGGGACCTGTAGCCATTCTTCTGCATGACAGTCCAGCAGCATGAAGTCTTCTTCTAACGGTCCATTAACTAATGTTGACATTTCTCACTTCTTCCAACTGATTTCATAGTGAAACCGTAGTAGCTGTCCTATTCCGCAAACTTGTGGACACCAAAAAACGGTCATCTCGTTGAGTGGTAACTCTTTTTCGCCCAGACCCTGGTCTTCTAGTGATCAGGCCAGTCTCCAGAAAGCGATGGTACACCCTTTGCACACCACAAAGACTAGCACCAACAATTCTTGCAGTTTCACGTTGCCCCCGACCATCTTGTAACAGCGCAACAATTCTTGCCACAACAATCGGATCTAAAGGCATTATGGGCCTGTTAAATCACTACACTTTGCAATCGTTAGGTTTTACACAAAGAATCAACAGTAAACTGGAAAACAAGCAAGGGAAATGTGAATGTTCAATTAGCGTAAAGGCACATTTTTCATAAAAGTCGTACAAACAGGAGGCCTTTGTATTCTAATAAATCGAATGGCAGCTGTCAAGTCTCGGACAACAGTTGCTTCAACGCCTACTATAATATTGACGCTAAAATTATTCGCAATTTCTGAAGTGACCTCAATTTTTTGCTCACCAGTGTATAAATAATAATAATTATACTACTCTCCCTAATTCACCCCCTTACGACTGAATTTTAACACCAAAAACTGAGCTTGTGCGGGGAAAGGGACGGCTGTTATTATTTGCCGTGGCGCTCCGGGGCGACTTAGAGACGATTGATGGTGACATTTGACTTACAGGTGAAAAAAACCCGGAAAAGCTCATCCACCATCATTGAAAACGGTAACGCATGGCGATTTTTAATAATATGGATGTCATATCAACAGAAATTAAATTTCTGCTAATACGGCATCCATTAAATCCTATAGAGAACCATGCAAATAAATTCACATGATCTTCCGTAGGATTCGAAACCGTGTCTCGTTTTACCAGAAAATTGGCTCGCAAATGAATGCCGCGCCGTAGACGCCTTCGCTACCGTAGTCGATAAAAGTAATAATCATATTAGACAATAGTATGAAACAATTTCACAATGAAAACAATTTATATAATAATAGATAATTGTGGAATAAGTGTATTTATTATTGCAACAAATTAATTTAATTTTGAAAGTGAATACTTTTATTAATAATGCAATTTTTTGTTTGATCTGTATCATTTTTTTAAGGGATTAGTATAAATGGTATTAGAACAATTACCTCTGCTGACTAGTTTTCCACACATACTACAAGTTATCCTAGTTTTCGGATTTACTCTTCTTTTCCTATATTCTTTAAATTTATGTTTTTTATACATCAGTCTATCTTCAAATGTTTCTAAACAGAAACAGCAAGTGTATATTTTATTTCCTTTTTCATCAAATGAAATACATTGAAATCTAGTACTTTCAGATTTCTTCTATAACAAAGAAAACAATTAGATTTTTCAATCAAAAAAACTAATAATTATACTTACTTCCTTTACTTTTTTTACCTCTTCTTTTTTTACTTCTTCTACCTCTTCTTTTCTTACTTCTTTTTTTACTTCTTTTTTTACTTCTTTTACTTTTATTACTTTTTTCACTTTGTTGTTGTTCTTGGTTATTTTCTTTGAATAACTATGATCTGCAATTGCAATAGGGACAACATCATCATCATCATCATCAACATCATCATCAGAAATTTCTAAAGATTCATTACACAATAAATCATTTGTATTTGTATCTTCATTGATATCAGAAATATGACTTTCATTTTCGGTTTGCACAGTAACTTTTAATTTACTTCTTGCTAGAATCAAAAAAAATGTTTTGATGTTAAAATATAGCTTACTAAAAATTGTAGTCAACATACATAACAACAGATAATTGATAAACTTGTAATTCAGCCAAGGGGTTATAGTTTGCTGACAGTAATAGGTTTTTACCTATAGAATACGAGCACACAACGTAAAGTAGCTGATGCTGATGACATCATAATAAAAAAATTGCCTCATTCTTTAAGAGCATTCTATCAACCTACAAATACTAAATTCGTTTAACTGCTGTTTTCACTAAAATACTGGAAAATAAATCAATTATTGGGGCTAAGGGATATATTTTTTTACATCAACTTATAATTTTTTCTCAGAGTTTAAATGTTTTCTATTAAAAAAAAAAATTATACTAGTCACAATTCAATATATTTAAGGATATTTTCTAGAATAAAAATTATCAGGGGTTAGGTAATTATCTAAATGCATAATAAGTCCAGTAAGTGCTGCTTTCGCTTTAGACTTTACACGAAATATTTACATTTGTGTCATTATCTTGGTGTAGACGATGAAACTACGATTTACTTTCCATCGATAGAAAGCTCTTAAGTTGAAAAGAATCGATATTGGAGCAGAAATGGTGCGTGTAGCAACGCTGCATTGAAGAGAACACCTTAAAGATAGTTTTCTAACAATATTTTTGAAACTGGTACCAATAAATACTTCAAATTTTGGATTATATTCTGAATGTGACAACTATTGCCCCAGAAATAGTAGTCTAACGAAATAGTCAGTCGAGTGAGGTTGCCAAAACTATCAGACCACCTCTACCTAGCCAACGTTCTGAATAATTTTCTAAAGCGATGTTAGCCCTCTCAATAGGCCTTCATCAATGAAGTCACACCAGTCACAGCGGGTCGTAAAGGTCCTAGAGGCAAACGTTCACTATACTAATGCAGCATTTGTCATAGCATGCAGGAAGTTCGACACTGAAGACTTAGACAGTCCTCCTGCAAGAACCACAATAAGGTAAGTTATTACATATCAAAGGGAATCAAAGATCCCCATGCTTGCATAATATATATCCACATGGAGCTAAGTAGTCAAAACAAAGTGACATTAGCCTGGATTCCAGGCCACGAAAGGATTCAGGGCAATTAAAAAGCAGATGAACTAGCCAGAAGGCTCAGATAAGGCCATGACAGGCCTCCGAACCCTTCTGTGGAGTTGCTAATGCATTGTGCAAGGCATCCATCAAACAATGGATACAAAAAGATTTTCAGCAATGGAAGTTAGGATCGAGATCTAGGATACTTATATTAGTCAATTAACTGCTGAATTTTCCATCAAATTACACTTTTTACATAAGGCATATTATTTATTACAATTTTATTGTTGATGACAGATATGTAGTAATGATATAAATATCTATTACTGGAGCTAAATTTGACGAACACTGCTTAACTTTAAAAAACTAAAATGTATTACTATTGTCTCCTTAATATTATATGAGAACATACATTTTTTCTTAATATAAATGTTTTCTTAAGTTAACTTTTCTAAACAATTTATTTGCTTCCTTTATCTTAACTTCTTAAACTTATTTAAATTGGAGAGGATATCATTTTAACGGAACTTGAAAAAGAAAATGTTGAAAAAAACATGAATTTAGATGATATAATTGTAACATTCTTCCTTTTTTAGGATTTTGCATATAAATATTAGAAGTGTATACAAAAATTTTGATGAATTCTTAATATTTTTAACAACTTGCAACCTGAATGAAATTGACGTGATAATACTTGGAGAAACACGATTCGTTCATTCAAATTCAGACTTCATGATACCAGGCTTTAATACCATTTTTAATAACAACCCATTAAATCAATGTGATGGTGTCTTAACTTTTGTACATAGAAACCTTAATTTTAACATAAACCATTTTAAACTTAATCAGTCTCAGGTAAACGGTAGCTCACCAGGAACTGATAACATCACAACCAAAAATTATTAAAAATAACTATAATCATTTTTTATACCCACTTACACATATAATAAATCTAATATTTTTGACCGGCATTATACCTGAACCGTTTAAAATTTCAATAGATGTACCTATATATAAAAATGGAAATAAAAATAACATAGCTAATTACAGCACAGCTTATACATACAATACAGCTCCACAACTCCGTGTCGGCGCCTTTGATTTGGTGGTCGAGAACCAAGCAAAACGGAATGGTGCTATCTCTGTTAGATTCGACGGAAAAGTCGGGCCCGGATTAAAAAATATTTTTATTATTGAAATAATTGAAGACGTTGGCGTAATAAGGTTGGTTACATGCCATATTAAGTAAGTAAGTAAGTAAGTTTTAAATTTGTTTTAAACCTGTAAAATATAATTAAAAAAATGATTTAAATATAAATATTACGAAAAATAAATATAATATATTTAATTTTTATCTGACCATACCGAAGTAGGGAATTTTGAAACTTTATAGCAGGTAATGTGAAATTTGAATTACAATATTACACGAAATTACATAATTAGTACTAATTTTACGTAGGTACTAAATTTGTACTTGAGAGAAAGTAATATCGATTTTTATAAGAAAACTTGAAAAATAAATTAATGTAGTTCTTATTTCTGATGTAAAACTTAAACCAAGAAAACAAATAAATAGTAGTTTGTTTAACAAGAGTGGATATGATAGCCATATCACACGAAGACGAAGTTTCAGCACGACGCCGTAGGCGGATTACTCAATCGTCTGATTGTGATATGGACAATCCACTCGACTTATACAGTATATTTTTTCTACGACCCACTAACGAAAATATACAAATTTAAAAAATTATTTTAGGTTATTTAGACAAAATAACTAATTTTAAAATAATTTACAAATTTTACTAATGTATAAAATAAAATAAACATGAAAAAAAAGATTTGATTTAATTTAATTAGTCCTCAGCCTAGATTCGATCCCGGGCTTTTCGCGTGGAAGGCAGATGCTCTGTCCTCATCTTCACCGACAATTTTAGAATTTTAGTTTTAATTAGTATCATGTAGTTTGATTAAAATTTAATTTTTTTTTTAAAATGTGGACCCAAAAAAAACAAAAATGTTATTATTTATCGAGTCTACACAGAAATTACTGATTTTAATGTATATTTAATATCAATAACTAAAATATATACTGACAATTAGTTTGACAGAACTGTCACTTATTTAAAAAATTTTAAATAATAGGACTTGAGTGACCAAAATATTAACTGTGATTTGTGGATTTAATTTTTTTAAAGTGTTCTCACTACCTAAAATGGATATGAAATATATTTGTTTAGTTGATCGAATAGCATACTTTTTCGTTTTGTAGTCTGTGCGTAGATTAGCTAATATCCATGTGGGCTTAGAAAAATTATTTTTTCTACAAATGTTATTTTTTGTAGCCAATTCTTCATAATTATTTTGAAATACCTTTTCAATATTGAAAATTAGTTCTACAAATTCATCATTTGGCAGTTGCGGATTTCCAAATGTATCTGAATTGACGTTATCATATGCCTTTAAAAAGCAATAAAAAGAAAAATCATTTAATTCATCGTGATCCTTGTTATATTTAAGACAGGTATCACAGGAGTGGCTTTTATTAAAAGATAAACACACACGTACCTAATAACATTTTTCTGTAGCAACTCATCTTTACAATAATTTAGGCTGTTAATAATTGCATCATAAAATAAAATACAGGGTGTTCCATTTAAAAAACATATATTTTAATTGGCCAGGAAAAAACGCGACACCCTGTATATCCAAAGATATTTTTAAAATATGTAGGTATTTTTCAAATCCATATAATTTTTATTTAAAACTTTTTTGCGTGTCTACAACACAAATATTGAACAATTACGCACTAATAGGACACCCTGTATAAATTATATTTTTAACAATGAAAATTTCTTATAATGTGGTATTTATCGGTTTGGGCCCTTGGGAGAACGAAAGAATGTTTTCTTGCAGGTATAACCCTTATTAAAACAGCTTTTGACTGCACAAACAGAATGATGTCTTTTTTTTCACTCATTTCTCTCACAGCTAAAGAGTACCAAAATAATAACAGTACCTTTAACTTAACACAACAGAGAGCTCAAACGAAATCAACGAAATTATAGGCTCAACGAAATTATACGCACGGCCCAATACCTTACCTAAGTACGCTTCTGAACGCCAAAGCCGTCTTTTCCGTCCGAAGGCGGAGCTTAAGCGATGCGCGACGGAATCGACGCAAACCGTTGCCGCCAAGAGAGTGTTTTAGCTGTATTGTATAAGCTGTGATTACAGTCTATTAATCTTATAAACACATTTTCTAAAATTTTTGAAAAATGCATTAAAGTACGTTTGTATGCATAGGCGCCGGAATTAAAAAATTGCTTTGGGTGCCCGGCTTCTATGCGGAAAATGGGGGCTATCCCCCCCACCCTCCACAACTCACTTAAAGGCACCACCGGTTTTTTAAAAAGCTATTTTAAAGTTGATTTTATGAAAATTTTCTTAAAAAAAAAAGGTATTGTCAAATGGCAATTGCTGGATAGGCTGGAGGCTCCCACCTAAAACGGGATATCTGGCAACCCTATATGCTCGGTACAGCCACCACTGGTATTTTTAAATAGATTATAGCCCCCAAATTTTAAATCGCCACTGTCTTCCTAGCCATTATCTTCTAACGATTTTTATTTTCTGTAAAAGCCTACCAGTTAATCGAGTAAATGCTAGAAATGCTGATTCTGGGCCTCCATGCAATAATAGAGGTTTTGTTCAAAATGCTATCGGACATTTTGAAGCATCTATGGGGTTATTTGATGACATTCTTCAATTATCCGTCGTTGTCGCAGATTTTCCAGTGATGTTGGCTGGGTGGCATACATTTTAGTTTTTAAGTAGCCCCATAAAAAATCCAACGGGCTTAGATCCGGAGACTGTGGGGGCTACTCAATACTTCCTCTTCTTCCGATCCTGGAAACCTGGAAACGTTTGATCCAAATACTGACGAACAGTGGTGCACCGTCATGGTGGAATATTAAGTTGTTTGCTATGTACTGATCGTCATTTTCAATCAACTCTAGTAATGCTGGATAAATAGCATTTTCAAATAATTCCAGATACATTTCTGCGGTTAAAGTTTCTGGTAAAAATGGGGCCCATTATACGGTTACCAAAAATGATAGCCCAAACATTTAGTTTTTCCGGATTTTGCGTATGTACTTCATGAAATATTCTGCGATTTGAATCGGACCAATAACGACAGTTGTGACGATTTACCGTACCATTTAGGAAAAAAGTGCATTGTCTGAGCAACACACATTGAAAAGAAATTGCTGATCATTTAATACCCGTTCAGTCATAATTTCACAAAATTGTTATCGCCTATCAAAATCGTCTTCATTAAGTTCTTTTACCAGATGTATTTTGTAGGAATAAAACTTTCAATATCTTCTGAATACTACGTCTCTTAATACCAGATGTTATCGCCAACTGTCTTGTACTCAATATGGGTTCATGAACAACATGTCCTAAAATCGCCACCTCTGTAGCTTCATTTACTACAGAATTTTCCATTTCACGTTATTTGTTAGCTACTGACCCCGTTTTCAAAAATGTTAGGACTAACTCCAAAATGTAATTTCGATGGACTTGTCGATTTTGATCTTGATTGTTAAACAGTTAGGCAGTTCTATTAGCACATTTATTGTTCGCAAAAAAGTGAAATTATTTGCACCCTCTTAGCAATAGAGTAAACCATTATCACTGATATGCAACTTTTATACCGACTCTACAACGAAATAAACTTAACCTTACTACTTTACGGCGACCAAAGAATGTCATCTGATAAGAATAATTGAGAGCCACAGGAATAAAAGTAAAATTGTTACAAAGAATTCCTTTTTTTTTTTAATAACAATGTAAAAATTATGTTAAACAGGTTTTGTACTTTTGGTGAGCCACTGTATGGGCTACATAGATAGTAGCGATGTAAAACTCGGGAGTTATTATCTAGGTAAAAATACCTTCAAAATAACATATCATTCGACCAATCTTTCCATTTAAGATATAACTGGTGAGTCTCGCCCCCGATAGAGGGTTTCCGCTTAGGGAGTGCAACTGCCAAAACAATGTTCCCCCGTAAAAAACAAAATTGACTGGTCCAAGCGTTTTTTAGTAGATGACCTGGTTTCTCGCCAGCAATACTAGAGAGCTGTTTCTAACTCTAAATGAACGTTTTTTTCTAACGGTGCTTGATCAGGAGCAACTTTCAAATGTTCTCCCTTTTCCCCTTAAGCATTTGCTCAATGGCATATGTACAAAGATCTTATCTTAATAATTGTAGACCGTTAATAATCTTTATTTTTTGACGTCATAGGGTTTTATACACCAAAAATAATAAACCCTTAAGTTCAACGCGTTGTCTATGACAAGTTACGGCGACTTTTTTATCACAAAAAATATAGCTCCGAACGATAATATTTTATTGAGGCATCTGACGCTATACCAACTTGGGACACGACAGCTTCTTCATTTCATTTATTGACACTTTTTGTCCTCGTTGTGCTCTGGGTGCTCCGCACCCTGTTCAAAACTGCTCTGGGTGCTTGCGCACCCGGAGCCCCGGGGATTCGGCGCCTATGTTTGTATGACTATCTACACAAAAATAACATTCTCGCAGTGAAACGCAGTTTGGGTTTAAAACAGGGTTTAGCACTAACGGTGCAATGTTTGAACTTGTTAACCGAATCAAACTTACTTTGGATAAGGGTGATAAATGTATTGCAGTGTTCTTGGATTTAGCAAAGGCATTTGATACAATGCCTCATCAATTTCTCCTTAATACTTTACAACAGTATGGAGTGAGGGAAACTGTATTAGATCTTTTCAAAAACTATTTGTTAAATAGAAAATAAATGGTGAGAATAAAAAATATCTTAAGCGAACCGGAAATCGTTCAAATGGAAGTGCCCCAGGGAACGGTTCTTGGTCCAATTTTATTTATCATTTATATCAATACTATGTTAAAATTACAAATAAATGGTGCAATAATCTCATATGCAGATGATACTGTCATTGTATTCGAGGATAGTAGCTGGGAAGCAGTCAAAGAAAAAGCCAAAACGGGTATAAATACTATTAAAAACTGGCTTGATTTTCATAAACTCCCTTTAAATGTCTCTAAAACCTCCTTTCTAGCATTCACGTTAACTAACGTTAACAGGCCTTCTTTAGACATAAAAATAAATGAAAACTTTGTAATTAGAATGAACAATACAACAAAATACCTTGGTATAATAATTGACCAAAAATTGAAATGGAATGAGAACATTCAATCATTAACAACCAAGGTTAGAAGATTTATTTGGAAATTTATGACTAGGAGTCTACTAATTACTATTTACAATTCGTTGGTTGAATCTATTTTACGATATGGTTTAATAATATGGGGTGGTTTATATGATATAGCACTTCAATCTATTAATGTAATCCAAAATCGTATCATCAAAATTATTTACAAAAAATCGACATTATATCCTACCTCTCTCTTATATAACAAACAAGTACTTAATATAAGAACATTATATTGTCATTGTTGTTGTACTTTTATTTATAGAAAGCCTGAACTGAGACATACTGCAAAAAACTTGCACAACACAAGATCCAGATTAAATGAGAATCTGAGAATTCCAGCAGTTTAGCAAGATACAAGCCAAAGATTTGTAACTTATATTGCTCCCAAAATCTTTAACACCTTGTGAGGAACATAAAAAATTAAAATTATTTCAGAAGAAATCAAAACAGTATATCACTTCTAATATTGGTGCATATAGAGATATGTACTCTAGATAATTTTGTATTTTTATTACAGATATTTTAAAACTATGTATATATGTATACTATAAGTATAAATGTGTATATTACTATGCTATTACTTTACTTTAGCACATAAAGGTGCTTGCACCTAGGTGCTTTAACTTTAATTATAATTTGATTATTATGTTAATTTAATTTTTAATTGTATGAAATGCATTTGTATCAAATAAATCAAAATAAATAAATCAAAACTGATAGGCATATGATTTTTTTTTGAAAGTATATTGGGAGAAATAATATTAATTTTTCTGAAATATATTAAACTCATAGGTGTACGTTAAAGGTTACTTTAGGCAATTAAACATTTTAAAAATAATAAAAAAAAAGCAATTTAATTTCGACTAAGTTTGGTATACGCCTTTAATCCAGAAACTTCATTAAACGTATTAGTAACTTCTGATCGTCAAATATCTATGATTAGAAGAATGCCTTAAAAAAATTACAATTTTTTCCTCTGAACTGGTAAAAAGTTACTTAAAGAATCGGAGAAAGATTTTGTAAAATAATGAATTACTCAAGTAGTAATAACGGTTTCTATTTTTAGGTTAAAAAAAAAATTATAAATACTATTTTTCTTGCGTGGGTACCTACATTTATTAAGTCAATGTGCTCCAATCTCCCCCCTTACCTTAAACCAACAAAAATATATTACTGTCACTACAGGTACGATCTTCAATTTTCATTTTGTATCCGTTTTAAAGAAAAAAAATCAGTGATAATTATTTTTTGAAATTTCAGCTACTGTATTTTGCTTTCTTATTTATACCTAAATGTTACATTTTACATATATTTTTGACGACTGTATTACACATTATGTTAAATAACTTTAAGAATTAAAATCTTTGATTATTAAAATTAAAACTTACGGTCTTCAGTATTTTCTGTTGGTACTGCAGTTCTTTTAAGTTTATTTTTACTTTTCCCATAGAACATTGAACGTGTAAAATGTCTGCTACACAGATGAACATTTTTGTGTAGAGTTTTAGGTGATATATGTTCTATTTTACCCAATTTCAAAGCTCTTTTCCAGTCATTGCATCTAGAAAAAACATAGGCTCAAACCAGTTGCCATTTTTATTACTTATTAAATATAAGTTTTTTTTGCCATTTTTTAAAGTGAATTTACCTTTTAATATTTAGTGGAAAACTGTAAAAGTTAAGCCCCGGATGTGTATTTACATTACTGTTACACAAGATGCAACTATAATTTTCTTTCCGACATTCCATAACTATAAAAAAAATATAATCTTGAATTTATAAAATTTTAATCTCTAGACCAAAATCATTACCATCTTCAATGTTTTGGGTTTCCTTATTTGATAAAATATTGAAAAACTTGGAATCTCCTGTACTACTTTTACTAAAAGGTGGTATAGTATTAGTTTGTCTATCGATTTTATTTGGAGTTTTGTTCAGGTTTGTTTCCTGCACATTTTCCTTATCAACACTTGAAGAGGCATTCTTATTTCCAAAATTTATCTCATTATCATCATCATCATCATCATCAATTGTAATTATTTCATTTTGTATATTTAAATTCTTATTTTTTATTTGAAGGCTGTTCTCAGAACTTTTAGACTGTTCAGCAGGTTGTACCATTACCTTACCCAGAGCAATGCATAAAAGTAATTGTGTGGTTTCTATCTGTTGCTTATACATATAAAAATCGTACAGTTTATTAGCACAAGTATTGCATATTTTGGATGGTAAACCATCATCTTCCTGTACCTAAAATGAAAATAGAAAATATTGAATTAAATTCTTAGATTAGCACCTGCTGTATTTCTAGTTAACCAAGGATTAATAATATTCTTTATTTAAATATTCTAACACACAAAAATGATATTGCCTCACTAAAAAAAACTAACTTAAATAAATAATTAACGGACAGATATCAAATTGACAAGATGAATAGTAGGAAGACTTTTCAAAATTATAAAATCCTGTTTTTGGAGATGATGAGGTTAACTATCTGGTTGGGGTTTGGCTCTTGGGGCTAGGATAGTTCAGGTCAAAATCAGGGTTGGCAGGTTTTTTTGCACCTAGTTTTTTTTAGGTTTTTTAAAAAAACTTTAAAAGTGAAAATTTCTGCAATTTAAGGTTTTTTAAGTAACTTTTGGATTTATCCATTCAAAGTTGAGAAATCAACTCTCAGCAGAAAGGGTGCAAAAATTAGTATATATAAAAACAAATGCCAATATTTTGTCAAAAGTTACCACTGATAAACTTATTGATTCTACTAGTGACCATTAAAAAAAATGTTTTTGTCATTTTTATTTTTTGTTTGCTGAATGTGTTTTTTTAATACAAGTACTCAATAAAATTCTATTTTTTAACTTTACCTTCTATTTTTTGTTGTACTTTATTAATATTTTTTTCCGCATATGAACTAAAAGCCTTAAAAAAAACCTAAAAAAACGTCTATTGTAAATGTGCCAAAAATTAGATTTTTTATCTCATCTGTAACTATTTTTAAATGCCAGCCCCCTATGTCCGAACTATGATATTTCAGGTCGATAATATTTTTTGGAAAAAATTTGAAATTTTGGGTTTGTATGTAGAAAATATTGGTAGATTCCAAATGTTTCATGGAAAAAATTGTAACTTTATTCTTGTCCAAAGTCCAAAAAAATGTTTGGAAAAACTTGAAATTTTTGGTATGTAAGTAGAAAAAAAATCATAGATTTCAACTGATTCATTTAAAAAGTTCTAACCTATTTTTTTAGAGATGCCACCCCTTCCATCTTCCTATAGGGAAGTGGTTCCCAAACTGGGAGGCGCAAAGCAACATTAAGGGAGGTTCATGAGTGCCCTGAAGTATTAATACAAATTTTATTTTTTAGTTTTTAAAATAAAAAATAATATTTGACAAATTCAAATAATAATGCAGCATTAGATTAGACTAGTGATGCAAATGTTACTTTTTTAAATAGGTTTTATTATAACAGATCAATAACATAACGTAATTAATATTTCACACACATTCAAATAGTTCATGATTATTAATCAAGAAAATAATCTATTAAATTCTATTCAAATTGATTCGATTAATGAAGTCGTTGATGCTGCTAATATAACAAATAAAATTAATTTAAATGAAAAACTCATAAATGTCTTACATTTCAATATTAGGAGTATTAAAAAGAATTTTGATGAGTTGTTAGTATTTCTAGAAAGTTATAAAATTAATTATTGTGATATAATAGTTTTGATTGAATGTTTCCAATTAGAATCTATTTCTCAATTTAACCTAGACGGTTTCACCACCCACTATAACAATGGTAACATTAATAGAAATGATGGTGTAATTTTGGTCAGGAAAAATCTAAATGCAGAATTAAATATAGTTAAACTGGAATATTCTGATATTTGTGTCACTAAAATAAATCTAAAAGTCAATTATCGGACCATTGCCATTCCAGGTGTATACAGGTCTCCTCAAACCTCTGCACAAGCATTTAAAAGGTATTTAGAAAATTTCATACCAAATCACCTAAATAGAAATATTGAAATATTCATAGGGGACATTAATATTGATCTCCTAAATGTAACAAATCAAGTAACTACTGATTACCAAGCAACTTTTTACTCCCATGGTTTCATGTCTTACATAAACAATATTACGAGGCCACAAAGTAAAACATGCTTGGATCATATATTCTTAAAAAACAAAATTAAGAATGAAAATCTATTGGTGAACTCTTATGTAATCAGCTATGATATGACACAAGTTCCTACAATACATATAAAACTATAACTAAAATCAATACTAATAAATTAAAACAAAAATTCAAAATTGTAAACTGGGAAAGTATTTGCAATGAAAATAATCCAGAAATTGCAACACAACTTTTTTATGACACGTATCTTAATATCATTGAAACATGTCAAACCACTCAAAATATCAAATTAAAATCCATAAAAAAATAAAGCCATGGATAACAAATGGTTTAATTAATTCTATTAAAACTAGAGATAAACTTAAAAAAGATCTATAAAAAAACTATACTATTAACAAACAAACTCACTATAAAACATTTAGAAATAATTTAAACAAACTAATATCAAAAACTAAAAATGACTATTATAACAATAAAATAAACCAAAACAAAAATGATCTGAAAAAAACTTATCAATTAATCTCTGAAGCAACTAATGAAAATCATAAAAAAAATAATACCAATTTACAGATTGTTAACCAACATAATGAGGAATTTGAAAATGATAATGAAATGGCGAATTACTGCAATAACTACTTTTCGACTATTGGCACTAATATGTTCACAAATATCCCTGAATATAATGTAGATTTTCCTGTGTCACTGAAAAATCAATGTTTCTGAAACCAATACGCGAAAATGATATTATAAAATACATAAATAGTTTAAAAAACAATAGTGCCCTGGGATTTGATTGTATAACAGTAAAACATCTGAAACTACTACATCTGTATTTACTGGAACCTTTAATGCATATAATTAATTGTATTTTTAATACAGGAATCATACCTAAACAATTTAAAACTTCAATTATAACACCTATTTATAAAGCTGGTAATCCAAAATTAATAACTAACTATAGACCTATTAGTTCAATTAGATAAACTGACAGATTTTTAAAAAATAATGATTTACTTCCCAAGCACCAATATGACTTTACTGAGGGTCTTAACTCAGGAGATGCTATGCATAAATTGACTTCATATATGTTACTGATGAAATTAATACTGGTAACAAGTGTATAGTGTATTTCTAGATCTAGCAAAAGCATTTGACAAGGTGTCACATCAGAAGCTCTTAAATGTTCTTGAATAGAATGGAGTGAGGGGCATCATGTTGAAGGTTTTTGAAAATTATTTAACACACAGACAACAGAAGGTAAAGGTCAGAGACAATGTGGGTAACCCTGAAAATACACAAATCGGAGTGCCTCAAGGGACTGTTCTGAGACCTATACTATTTAATTTATACATAAAGAGCTTAACTCAGATTGATATTCAAGGTAAAGTTGTATCATATGCTGATGATACAGTGCTAGTCTTCAGTGATAAAGATTGGGAAGCCATCAAGACACATGCTATAGGTGGAATGGAAGTCAAAAACTGGCTATTTTTTATTTAAAAAAAAAATGTTTTTTTATTTCCTTTATAATTCATTAAATATAATTAAAATAAAATTTTAATTTTTGTCAGCACATACAGGTGTTCTCACCTAGGTGCTTGGTATTATATAATTGGTTTCCATTATTGTAACTTATTTATTATTGTAACTCATTGTAACTTATAACTATTAAACTATAATGAAAATAATAGTAAAAGTAGTTTGTGTCTATAATCGGGACCCCACCACTTACAAATTAGATTTTTATCTCATTTGTAACTATTTTTAAATGCCAACCCCCACATCCGAACTATGACAGTTCAGGTCGAACATTTTGAGTATTTATGTAGAAAAAATCATAGATTCCAACTATTTTATTGAAAAAATTGTAACTTAGTTTTTTGGGGTGACACCCCATCCATATCAGCTAGGAGGTGGGGTGGGCGAAATTTATTTATGCGATTTTCCCGAGGATTTTCCTATTCTTGGGATAATACATCTATAGGTATAGCCCAAAGAGCCAAATCCCAACCTAACTAGCCTATAGTTTTTATCCCTTCATCACAATTTGATTATTAGCCCATCGTGATAATAATATTAGTTGGTGTCCTTTGTGTTTGAGAGAATATTTGCATTTTACCACCAAAAACAAAATATTTGAAATTTAAGGCATTCAGTTATCAATACAATTTAGGCATACCTTTTTAACACCTTTTGTGTTGTTTATTACGTTCTTAATTTATTTAATTATGTTTCATTTATTTATTTATTAAAATATATACTTACTTTAGCAACAGATAACACAGAAATTAAATCTATGTATTTTTTTCCGTTTTTTGCCAATGTTCCAAGGAAAATATTGGTTGTACCATTTTCTTTAAGACACAAACGACAAATTTGATCAAGCGTCTCTGGAAAAATCTTTACTGTACTTTTATCCTTATCTATTAAATCTATTCGAAACATTTTAAAAAATATCAAAATAAATATTTAATTTCCATTTAAATTACTTATAACAACAAAACAAAAATAAGTCAAGTAATGGAACTCCCGGAATATAACAATCAAGACAGAAGACATATCTGCACCTGCGCAGAACACAGAACCTCGGAACCACAACCATAAACCAACGAGAACAGACCAATCAACAAAGCATCAAGGCAACTAAACGACCTTGTGACCGGGATGGTGGTCGCATATTATTATCCGATAAGATCCATTATTGATTTTATCGGTTATTTTAATTTTTCTCCGTTTTTTGCAGTTTGACCCTCAATTTTGTTCAGCGGTAAAAAATACGTCGGAAAATCTTTGTCGAACACCCAGCACAGACCACTTTTTTTTTGTGGACCTGTGTAATAGTTCTTTATTTCAGGAGTATGTTACAGATACATAAAACATAAGAGTCAAACAAAATATATAAACAATATTGTTTTAGGTCATCAAAAACTCATTTAAATTATATGGTTCCCTGTTAACTAAATATATAAATAACACTTTCTTGATTTCTGTCAATTCATTAATTGTTTTAATATATCTGGGAAGACTGTTGAATATTTTGATACAGTTATAGTAGGCTACACGTTCTGTCATTGTTAACTTGTGGTGTGGATAGGCATAGTCTTTGGTTTTTAGTGGGATACACCGACTGCGATTTACTAGTGTCGAAAAGATGTTTGTTTTTAATAACAAACAAAACACATTCCTGTACATAGATTGCTGTCAATGCTTTCAATTTCAATACAACTTGCATAAATTTGCTGCGTTTAAAAGGTTAAAAAGTCTAGATATTTCTTTAATACTCTAAGACTATATGTCGCTCTACCAAGTTTTTGTCGTGTGATCAGACCAAGACATGTTGTTATCCAACACCATTCCAAGAAATTTGACCCTTTTCTGAGGGGCCAGTAAAACATCATGTAATGTTAAAATTTGTGGTTCAGCAATTTGGACCACTTATTTTTAAAAAGTAGTAGATTTGTCTTTTCCCTATTTATAATCAATTTATTTTTTGTAAACCACTCATTTCCCACTTCAAATATTTATCATCAGATATAATTTGGTCTTGACCATTTTTTAATTTAACTCTTTGCATTCTCTGATTCAAATATGAACTAATCCATTTTAGTGACGTTCCTCTTACGCCATATTTATCTAATTTGTTTAACAATATATCATAATTTAACGTATCATATGCTTTTGACAGGTGTAAAAATAATCCCAGTGGTAAGTTGTCATTTTCCATAATGGTTAAAATTTGATTTGTAAATTGGAATAGTGCAGTTTAAGGATCATTTATTTTTTATAAATCCATGTTGGACGTTATTTAGCTGTTTTGTAGTTTCCATAAAGTTTATGATTTGTTTACATATGATTTTCTCAAATATCTTGGAGAAAGATGGTAACATACTAATTGGCCTGTAATTTTCCATTTTAGAGTCATCACTTTTTTTATAAATAGGGACTATAAGTGAAACTTATAGGGACCGTTTTTCTATTTTATGGAATATATCTTTTATTTACGCTTGGAGAAGAAAATTCTTTAAATAAAAGTTGCTTGTAATATTATCTATCCTTTATAATTTTTGTTCCATACAAAATTTTCCTATTCGAGAAATTTTACAAAAATTAAAATATCTAATTTTTAAGAAAATTGTTCAAATACAAGTTATTTGTTATGTAATTCTCCATATCTATAAAAGGGTCCTTTATATCTTACAAAGAATTAAATCTTTTCTACCTTTAATCTAACCAACTCACACATGGCTACTCCAAGTTTGAATTATTTGTCGTTGATAAATAAATTAACAATATTTTTTCCCTTCCATACGGTACCGCACTGTTATGTGTACAGTTTGTTGTACTCTTCCTTTCTCCGTCTTGATTATTACTTCTAAGAGTAAGGTCTATCTATCCATCACAATCATAGGCAAGACAAATGACAGATGTCAGCTCGACAGTTGTCTTTCAGTTTTCATGATTGACGAATGGTTTTTATTTTAAATCAAGAATAAAATTTAAAAACTAACATTATGTCAGATAAACAATCAAATTTACCAACTAATGAAGAAATAATAAATGAAATAACACAAGGAGTAAATTCCGGATTATCAGTAAATGATAATTTATCTGCTGAAGATGTAGCAAAAAGTGAATATAAGGAAAGTATTCCAGAAAATTTCGAAAAAGGAGATGAAGACCCTGAGATAAAGAAACACTCGGATGATTATGTAGACGAAGAAAGATTAAAAGATTTAGAAATAAACCTAACACATGAAGAAATGGAAATTAGACATAAAAAGTCTTTAGAACTTAAGAAAACTGGTAATGAGCAATTTAAATTAGGCAATCATATAGAATCTATTAATACGTATACAGAAGCTCTAAGACTTTGCCCTCTACAGTACCAAAATGATCGGTCTATTTTTTATGCCAATAGAGCTGCTTCTAAAATTTCTTTAGGAAAGACCGAGAGTGCACTTGAAGATTGTACTAAAGCTATTGAATTAAATGATAAATATATAAGAGCATATTTAAGGAGAGCGAAACTGTATGAAGAAAGTGATAAATTAGATGAAAGCTTAGCTGATTATAAAAAAGTTTTAGAGTTTGATATAAATAATAAAGATGCTTTGCAAGCTCAATATAGGTTACCTCCTCTCATTGAAGCCAGAAATGAAAAGCTTAAAACAGAAATGTTAGGTAAGTACCTATATTTATTTTTTATCTGTCCATGTTGCTTGAAAAATATTGTCTTGTATTCCTATATTCTTAAATCAATTAAAGAAGCAATTTACATTAGTGGAGCAATTTACACTCCCCATCTTACCACTGACCCTATCAAATCCAACAGGGCCACAGGCAACCATTTTATTTGGATTGCCTAATAGAAGTATTATACTCTTCTTTTTAAGATTCAGTTATGCTTAAATTCAGAACCAAGCATAGTTATTAGGAACATGGCTTGTATTTCAGTTTTGTCAGTTATAACCTACTTTAAAAAAAATTTTGTGGATCACTAGGTATTTACAAAAATGCAGGAAGACTGAAAGCTATGCATAAGATGAATCCTTGATGTAAATTTTGGAAGTTTTGGAACATTTTACACTTACTTACTTACTTGGTCTGAAGTATAAAAAGAATAATAAGTAATGGTATGAAAACAGAATGTTCACTAACATGGCATACATAGGTACTGAATTAAATAATAAATTCTTATATGTATTATGCAGTGTGAACATTTGAGTTGGAAAAGGAATTTTTTTTAGCAAACTAAACTCTTCAATGGCAACCTTGCAATATTTTTCAGATTTGGATATACTGTAGAATTCTGAGAACAACTAATAATGATACCATCTAACGACTTCATGGCAAAATATGTGCATTCAAATTTAAAAATTAACCTGTCCCAGCGATTTTGCTTAAAACTTCTAATAATTCACAGTTCTGAACATAAGAAATTACATTTTAATAGTATTTAGGCAATATGTAAGAGCAAAAAATATTTAATATGTCCACATATCACAAGACAATTCTATAGTAATTATTTTTTTATATCTTAAATGAGTAAAACCAAATTTGGTAGATTTTCACAAAACTTTTATTAAAAAAAAAAAATTAAAAACACTACACATGACATGTTTCGAAGTACAACTTCTTTTTCAAATGTGACTAATTTACAATTCAGTGTCCAATATATATGCCAAGTAATTTAACCAAACAAAGTAATTAAGAAAATACATCAATAACATAACAAAATAAACTGACTATTTAAAGTAAATAAGGGTACTAACTAATGTAATTATGATATCAATCAGATAAGAATAAGATAGTATCATTACCGGGATTATCTCACAAAAAACTAGGAAAGAGATTTAATAAAGGTGAGTTATTAATTAATTGATCATTTAGTAGGTTATCTGAATTTTTAAATCTATTTATTTCAAGTGTTTTTAAATGGTTTAGTTTAATGCCCTTATTTTCTATATGTAAAATTTCAAAGTTGTCTGTAAAAGAATGATTTTCAGCCAAAATATGATTTGAGTAAGGTAAGTAGAATTATTTTTTTTTTGTATAGCTATTATAATGTTCGGAACAGCGCTTTTAGAAAGTAGGGTCTATTTGACCAATATACAATTTTGGAAAACTACCACAATTTAATTTATATACCCCCGATTTATTATTAGGATTAATTTTACCCTTTTTGTTTTTAATATACTTCCCAAGCGTATTATTTGGTTTTGAAAGCTATGTTAATATTTTAGTTTTTTAAATATGATGATACCTTTTCACTAGGATCTCCTATATATGTAAGAGTCTTATATCTGCAATTTTGATCTTTAATTATGGGATAAACTTGTTGAATAGCATGTTTAAAAAGTTTTTTCCCTAAAATGTCTACTAACTTTGAATTAAAATTATTGTTTACTGCGATTTGTTCAATGATATTTAATTCTATTGTGAAGTTCTCTTTGGTAAGGGGGATATTAACTAATCTATGGATCATACTGTTGTATGCTGCCAGCTTTTGTTTGTATGGATGAGATGAACTATTATTTATTGTAATATCAGTATATGATAGCTTATGAAATATCCCTAAACTATGGCCTTTATTAATTTTAATAATATTTAAGTCTAAAAAATTAATTGAATTATCCTTCTCTGTTTCCATAGTAAATTTAATATTAGGGTGTATAGTATTGATAAAAACTAATAAAGAATTTAACTGTCTACTAGTACCAGTAAAAGCAGTCAGTATATCCTCAACATATCTATGCCAATAAAGACAATATTTATTTAAATTTTTGCTATGAATTTTATGTTCTATATTATCCATAAATATTTCTGCAAGCAACGGGCTTAATGGGTTCCCCATAATAAGACCTTCATTTGCTGAGTAGATGTTATTTTGAAATTGAAAATAATTTTGTTTTAGGCAATTGTTTAAAAAATTTAGGATTTCTTCTTTGATTATAATATTGACTTGATTACGATCTAATAAGTTTTCTACTAGCTTAACTGTTTCTTTAAGAGGCATACTAGGAAATAAGTTTGTTACATCGAATAATACTAATTTTGTGTTACTAGGTAATTTAATGTTTTTTTAATTTTTCTGTTAATTCATTGTATATTGGTAAAACAGGCCGTACTTTCAAAAAGCGCTATTCCGAACATTATAATAGCTATACAAAAAACAAAAATAATTCTACTTACTCAAATCATATTTTGGCTGAAAATCATTCTTTTACAGACAACTTTGAAATTTTACATATAGAAAATAAGGGCATTAAACTAAACCATTTAGAAACACTTGAAATAAATAGATTTAAAAATTCAGATAACCTACTAAATGATCAATTAGACATTAATAACTCACCTTTATTAAATCTCTTTCCTAGTTTTCTGTGAGATAATCCCGGTAATGATACTATCTTATTGTTATTTGATTGATATCATAATTACTTAAGTACCCTTATTTACTTTAAATAGTCAGTTTATTTTGGTATGTTATTGATGTATTTTCTTAATTATTTTGGTTAAATTACTTGGCATATATATTGGACACCGAATTGTAAATTAGTCACATTTGAAAAAGAAGTTGTACTTCGAAACATGTCATGTGTAGTGTTTTTAATTTTAATTTTTTATTTTTTTTTTTAATAAAAGTTTTGTGAATATCTATCAAATTTGGTTTTACTCATTTAAGATAAAAAATAATTACTCTAATACTATAGAATTGTCTTGTGATATGTGGACATATTAAATATTTTTTGCTCTCTTACATATTGTCTAATTACTATTAAAATGTAATTTCTTATGTTCAGAACTGTGAATTATTAGAAGTTTTAAACAAAATCGCTGGGACAGGTGAATTTTTAATTTTAAATGCATATATTTTGCCATGAAGTCATCAGATGTAGGCATCATTATTAGTCATTCTCAAAATTCCACACTATATCCAAATCTGAAAAATATTGTAAGGTTGCCAATCAAAAGAGCCATTGGTGATGACTAGGTGGAGGTGGTAGTGTCAACATTAATATATGTTAGTGAACATTCTGTTTTTATACCATTACTTTTCTTTTTATACTTCAAACCAAGTAAGTAAGTGTAAAAATGTTCCAGGACTTCCAAAATTTACATCAAGGAATTCATCTTATGTATAGCTTTCAGTCTTCCTGCATTTTTCTAAATACCTAGTGATCCACAAAGGTAGGGCATAACTAACAAGACAGAGATACAAGCCATGTCCCTAATAACTATGCATGGCTCTGAATTAAATCATAATTGAACCTTAAAAAGAAGAGTATAATACTCCTATTAGGCAATTCAAATAAAATGGTTGCCTGTTGGATTTGATAGGGTCAATGGTAAGGTAGGGAGTGAGAGTTGCCTTACGGCACTTAGGCCTCATATGGGCATCCTCCAGGGGCTTATAAAACCTGCCTCTCAACTTGTCAAAACCTTCGCTGACAAGTGCCTAGAGAGAGACATCTTCCTAACTCATTAAAGACCTGCAGGTTATCAACTCATCAAAAACTTGCTAGTTGGCAGCCATCTTCTCAGCTCATTGCCTGTTGGATTTGACATAGTCAATGATATAATATACTTATATAGATTGATCATCCATTTTTTTTTTTTTTTTTCAAAATAAACATATGCTCATGCCTTGAAGTAAAAATGTAGGTAATTATTTTTTACTGTCATTCTTGTCATTGCAGCATCGGTTTCGCAATTGAACTTTGTTTAAAGTGGTTCTTTAATAATTGGATTTCCCTTAGACTAATAATAACATTATTTTAGGTAAATTAAAGGATTTAGGAAATATGATTTTGAAACCCTTTGGATTGTCTACTGAAAATTTCCAGATGGCCCAGAATCCAGATTCAGGAGGTTATTCAGTCAATTTTAAAAATAAATAACAATACACATTGTAGGTATTAAAGTATAAATTCCAAACATATGTAGTTTTTATTTTGTTCTTTAACATTGAAGAGAATACAGTACTAAGTTTTTCTTATTTTATAATGACTTATTTATGTATATTATTTACTGTTAAATAAACTTGTGCACATCTATTTTGGTTTTTCATTCATCTGGTCACAAATGTATGTTGTAAAACAGAACTGTCTACAAGAAGCATTCGACAATCAGGGCCGACTAGAGGGGGGGAAATTTTTGTTGGGGATTTTTTTTTTTTTAGAAAAAGCAATTGAAGCAGAGGAAGAATGAGGATTTTTTTAGAAACTCAATTCAACTAGAAGAGGAAACGTTTTTGTTTGTTTGAAGAGCTGTTCTTTGTCACGGGGCCCGGCCTGGCGCTCTCGGTGGCCCTGTCGACAATCGTCTCATAATTTAATATTGTTTTTCCAGTGAGCCGAGATTCATCCATTTGTGTAAATTTGTCAATAGATTATTTGCACTGTTTTAATTTTATTTTGTTCACTGTTTGCTCTCTATCATGTAATAAATCAATGGATCGCCGATTACAGGGTTATATTAATTTTTTTGCAAATTCTAGTATCCCTAGTGCAGTATAGGTAACAATTTGTTTTTTGGAGAATTTTGAAAATTTGCTACTTTACTTATCGCCATTAAATATTAAATCTGATTCACTGATAATATAGCGGAGATAAAGTGACTTTCAGACTGCATTTTTACAAAGGTTGCTTCTATCTTTCTTCTCTCATCTTTTCTTTTCACTCTCTTAGTACTTTTTTTATTAATTAATTTAGGCATAGTTCATTTGTATTTCTATACCTAATTTTGCAGCTATAATAGTAAGAGTTAAGTTACGCAGTGGGTTAAAAAATCAAGAAAAAAATATTCACCAAAAATTTTATTAACAAATTCAAATAAAATTCACATTGATAATTGTATCAAATAAGATAATTATTTAACATCAGCCTTATATATACAAATTCACCAATTAACCAAAAATATTAATGCACAGGCAGTTCGTGAAAATGTGATTATCTAAATAGTTATCTTGAAAGTTAAAGTTGTCAATTATCTAATTATTTAATAAAGCAACTGCTAGATTTAAAATGTAGCTAATAGTTGTTCGAAACAATTTAGAACTGGTATTAATTTAAAAAATGGATTTTAAAACTATTTGTCAGTAAGTTTGTTTCTTAATTCAGACATAAAAAACTCTATGAAAACAATTTAGTAGTGTTTGCTAAAAAATATATAAACCTGATGAAAAGCTACTAAAATCCATTTTAAGATACCTTTCTTCAACAACCTTGCTACATATTTCAAAAAAAAAAAAATCAGAAAAAATACTAATCTAAATTATCTTCGTCTGCTGGGGGAGGTTTAGGTGCATCTGCTTGAGTATTGGCTCCCATTCCTGCTCCCCCAAAACCTGGAAATCCCGGAAAACCAGCACCGGCTCCCGAAAAGCCAGGAATATTCATACCAGACCCAGCAAATTTACTGGAGAGTTTCGTAACGAGATTCATGATTTTAGGATTAGACTGATATTTTATGAAATTAGCTGGGTTCATTGAGATGTCCTGGAACGCAGCTGCTACCTCTGGATCCTAGAAATTTATATAGTTATAATGGAACATCAAAAATTTATGAAATCTTAATCCTTAAATTAAAGTATACAAATATTTCAAACAAATGAATCTGAGTATGAGTACCATTGAAATAGAGGCCCCCAACTTTTTGGTCTCAGACCTCTTGCAATTTTTTCTGATTTTGAGGGAAAGCCCACTCACGCGACATGTCGCGCGCGGCAATACTTTGATGTTTTTAAATGACTCAAAGCCCATTAAAGGTAGGGTCTCTTTTGGGCGAGTAGTCGAGACGTTTAGACGCGGCGTTTAATCGTGCCGATAGGTTAAATAGTGATATCATAATGACGGTCTGATTTAAGCGACAAGTCGTCACAAGACGACGCGTCTTACGGCAAAATTGGTCGTCAGGCAATTTAAACGCGCACGTTTATTTAATCGCCTGCTATTGATGCAAAATGAGCTCCAAAGGAATTTGTTTTATATCAATTGATACAATATTTAACAGTTCATTAAACTGACTTTTGGTAAGCCTAAAGTATTCTTTGAATTTAGTTTCGTCATCAATTACATGTCTCATTATTAGCGTACTAAAGCACCCTTCCTTTCTTCTTTGAAAAAATGTCATCGTCTTTTGCTTCTTCTATAAGCAACTGTGCTGCAATCACAAGTTCACTAATAGTCATTTTTGTCGAACGAAATAAAAAATACTGATTGGCGACTAGTCGATTACTTGAGGTGACGACGTAAACAGACCACTAGGTGCGATCAGGTGCGTCTAGACGTAAGCGACTAAGCGCCGCGTCTAAACGTCTCGACTACTCGCCCAAAAGTGACCCTACCTTAACGCGGTTCTGTCGCGTGGTCGCACGCGGCTAAGAGTCATTTAAAAACATCTAAGGTATTGCCGCGCGCGATGCCTCGCGATCAGTCGCAATTTATTAAACTATTTTCTCGAAATTATTATTAACATCTATAAAATAATTTTGTACGCCAATGTATCGCGTCCACTTCGGTGAGATCCGCCGCAAACCTGTCAATTTATGTGTATAAAGGGGGAGAACTGGCAAAAGCCTTTCCAACTTTTACTTCTACTTTACTATAAACTGTAATTAATAAAATTATTTCTTCCTTCTTCGAATTATTTATCTACTTTTGCCTTGAACTGGTTTATGTTCTGGGCTGAGACTGTATGTTCCTGGAGACCATTCCACAGATATACAGTTCTGTTTGTGATGACATTTTTTTTCTTAGCAGTTTATTACACTTTATCTAATTTTAGGAGGTTATGTTCATAAAATAAATAAGATTATCCATAAAATCAATTTTACGTATATTTTGGATTGCCTAAATTAATTTCTGTGTAATGTAGATGAGATACTAGCATTTTTTGACAGTTCTGCAGCTCTACAGCAATTACACATCAGCCGTCAGTGATATGAACAATAAATTTCAATGAGATTTTGCCAGATTTGGTTCTCAGTTTTTTTATTTTAATCACCCATTCGTATTTAAAACATTTGTATCTAAGAGCCTATATAATTTTCGCCAAAAATAGAGATTTTTGCCTTTGGTTCTAGACCCCTTAGTTGTTTTTTTGTTTTTTACTGTTGCCAGTTTTATTGTTTGCTATAGAACTGCAAAATCTGTGGAAATTACAGTTTATATTATAGGTAGATAAAACCTATAAATAACGTTGAGCTGTTGGAATAGTATAGGTCCTGATCCGGCCGGAATTCCGGTTCCAGCAGTATCGGGGTTGTTAACAATTGACAACAAAATTTTGGGAACACCATATATCTTACATTATTTTTATGTACTGAAAAACTTTATACTTTGTTTAACTTTAACTGATAAAAATTATAAATAGTACTTAAACAAGATAAAATAATATTTTAAAATATGTTTATCTTTGAGATAAGATTAACAAATATGTTTAGTTTTGTTTATTATCTAAAATGTTTCTGAAGGTCTAAGAAACAAAAAATTTTAGCCTATTCAGGTGATGGCGAATGTTTTTGATAACTCCATTCATATATTAAATATGTCCATTAAATATTAAAATTATTGGTGTAAGACTGACATATTATGAAGTGTATCTTGCTTAAAATGAAGACGGTCCTGTATTTCCTCTATTTCAAGGAGTAATTTTTGAGATGATCAATTTAAACATGAACTGTAAACCCAGCCTACTCAGACATGCAACAATGACCAATTCTTGATATTTTGCTTCATGTTGGAGATGCTGAAAAAGTTGTTTGGCATTCAATTTTCACTCATTATGCCAAGTTTCATGAAAAAAATGTTCATGTATAATTTTGGACTTATTTTCGAAGTCACAATAGACTTGGTTTAATAATATTAATAATAATCTCCCTAATTCACCCCATTATAAGTAAATTTTAACCTCAAAAGCTGAGCTTGTCCAGGGAAGGGATGACCATTATTATTATTTGCCGTGGTGCACATAGGCATCTTAACAATTCCTTATTTATTTTATTTTTTTATAAAATACAAAAATAGTTACATAATTATGTTACAACCAATTAATATTATCTTAAGTTATATACCTTTTCTTGGAGACACCTAGATGCTATATGCATCTGTATGTGTCTCATTATAAAACTATCTCAAGACTCTTAAAGCCCTATTACAATGTTTTAAATTGATTCTATATAAAGAAGACTATAGCGTTCTTTACTTTATTTAAATAATTCTTTAAACAAGTTATAGTTGTTAAAGATATATGTATTACATTCTTTTGAAAACAAGATGTTTTTTGATATTCTTTTTATTTTGCCTAGGCATATTATAAATTTTCGATGCTAAATAATTAAAAAAATTTAGGTTAATATTTCTGTGACTCACCAAAATACAAATTTACCTAATTTCTTGTGTGATATTGTTAATTTACAATGTTTTGTAGGGAAATTCGAGTACGTATGTAACTGCATATTGTTGACATCTATTGTACCTACTTAGTATATTAAAATTTGTATCACCCATTAGTAGTTGTAAGTTATTCGAGTTTCCCAGCAAAATTAAATGATCATGAATATCTTTTATAAAATCTGCCTTTGGAATTGGTGGTGGTTTATATATTGCATTAATACCTATTGAACTACCCCCTACATAACATTCTAATCGTCCTAACGTTGCTTTAGATAATGCAAATTTTAGAATAGAGAATTCAGTCCTGATATCATTTCTGACTAAGATCAAAACACCATCATTCCTGTTATAGTTAGCATCATTAATATATGTTTTATAACCTGGAATATTACAATTAATAATACATGTCTCTCTAAAAGTTTCACTTAGAATAAAAATATCAACAAAATAAAGATTATATGTTTGAATTAGGATTGATTGACTTACAGGTGAGGGAACCCCATCCACCATCATAAACCCCACCCAACATCACCCACCTTTAAATTGAGCATCTGAAAAATGTAACTCATGAATTTTAATTAATTAAAATAGCAAAATACAGGGTGTTTTCATCTTAAAGGTGAGATACTATATTATAATAACCAATATTTTTTTTATATACAGTGTCCCTAGTATTTCATAGGAACAGTATTATTTCTTAAATGGTAACAGATAGAAAGTTCGTTAAATTTGAGGTTAAATTAGACAAAAGTTACGCCGTTTTGTGCTCATTAAAATAGTGCCAATAAACCTTTAATATCTACAGTGAGATTCAAAATATTTGACAAAAAATTAATGAATTTAAAGAAATTTTAATTTTTTATCCAATATTTTGAATCTCCCTGTACCTACAAATGCAAAAAAGGCATGCAGCAAATTTGTCATAATTTAATCTAAACTAACCTGGAATGCCGTCATTATTTCAGGATCTTGCAATAATTTATAAAAACTATTAGCATCTCCTTCAGGGGTAGCCTGATGGTCGCCTTCTTCTTTTGTAGCAGCCTTTGAATGTGCTTCTCTAACCTTTCTTATTCTATCCACTCTCTCCTTTTCCTCTTTATCTTTTTGCTTCCTTTCTTTCTTCAATAAGTGTTCCTCAATTCTTTTAGCATTAGGAGTTACTTCCTTTAACCATTCATCTGTTTGCTCATCAAAATCAATGTTGCATGCTTGACGTAAATCTTTTGCTGCTAGTTCCCATTCCCCAAGAAGCCTGTATGCTCTACCTCTAAATTTGTAAGCTGGAGCCGAATCGCAATTTAATTCTAGTGCTTTGGTACAATCTCTAATACAAGCATTTGGCTTGGTGAGTTTTAAATATGCTTGGCCTCTTTTAGCAAACAATAAAGCACTATTTGGATTTATTTCTATGGCTTCGGTAAATAATTCTATGGCTTTTTCGATGTTACCTTCAGATAGCTGTGACATAGCTTCCACCCTTTTTTCATCAGCTTGATCAGACAATTCCTCCGTTACCTCCTTGGACGGATCTCCCATTTTTTGGTTATCGTCTAATTTATCCGGCTCGACACATCCGCTCATGTCAAATTCTAGAACACTTTCGGGATCTGAATCTACCGCTTCTTCAACAGGCACATCGTGAACCTCTTCGGGCTCCACCTTAATTCCTCCAGAAGGCATTTTTTGTTCTTTCGGAATAACTCCACCAAGAGACTCGATAAAATCTTTGAAAAATTTTAGATCGGGTAAATGTAGGATGTCCGAATTTGACTTGCAAATTTCGATAAATTGTTTTAGTTTGTCAAGGGCCTCTTTACTTATTGGGCTACTCATTTTTGCGGTTTTGCGTAGTTAAGCTTTTATCTAGAAACCGGCACAACACCCAAAAGAACTTAAAATAAACAAATAAATATTTTTAGTTCTGTTTTCTGCTCTGTCATCTGTTATTTTTGAGACATGACACGTCATTGGTCATCGTAATCATCATGTTCTGAGAAGTATCGATGTTTTTCGAGAAAATCGATATAAAAATGGTGAATCGATATCAAATTTTTTATTTTTTTTTGCTTAGATAACAAACAACCCCCTATTTAAATATCACTTATCCTCATACATAGATATATCTAATATATTGCCCTCATATTTGTCTGATTATTAGAGTTGCTAGATTTTAAAAATTTAAAAGCGAGAGGTGGGTATAGTGCCTGTGTTGGCGAAAACTTGTTGGGGTGCCACGCCCTAATTTTGCCACATTTTGTCATAAAAATTTTTATAATAAAACATAATTTTAAAAGACTAGAGACAGGGCCGCCGAGAGCCAGGTCGGACCCCAGGACAATTCATTAGATCGGAATTTTATAAACAATATATATTCTCTCCTCTTTGCTTAAATTTCTAAAAAAAAAGTCCCCAACCAAAAACTTCCCCCTCTTGTCTTGTGCCGAACTTCTAAAAGAAAATAAAAATCCTCGCCACAGTTGCCGGGCCCCCATTTGAGCCCGAGCCCCGGGAATTAGTCCCGGCTGCCCCCCCCCCCCCCCCCCACCCCCCTCTAGTCGGCCCTGGCTAGAGGTACAAATATGTACATTTTGAAGCGAAGCTATTTGACATTTGACCATATGTTTTCAGGACAAAATATATTTAGTCATGCGAGCTCAACACGTTACGTGTTGAATAGAGAAAGACATTACATAAGAATCGCATTCTGTCGAACGAAGATAGAGGCTTCTCAACACGTGTCGTATTGTAAGATGAGAATTCCACTGCAGATATACCTACGGTGCGAATATTGAGAGATCATTATTCAAGACAGTCCAACCCTGGAGTAACAACAAGCATATTTTTTGTGTATAATGTGCCAATGACATATTGATAATGTGCACATAAAGAAAATCAAAGTATGTGATAATGTGAGTGTAACTGTCCGAAGTGTCATTTTTCCCAGTCAGTTGAGCTGTTAATTCATTAGCTATTAGTGAGGATGTATCGGCATTTTGGTATGCCAAATTCTTAAATAATTCTAGACTGGTATAATAAAACGGCAAATGCATACTGGGACGTGTCCATCTAGCAGTCCAAATGTGACTTTAATGAATAATACATTTCTATAATAATGAATATTATAATAATAAACCTCCTCTTTTAAGTTATATTGACTCGCCATTTATTATTTAAGTTTTTATATTGTTGCTGATACGTGAAAATGTTGCTGATTTGAAAATATTGAACATGGGCATCGGGATTAGAAGCATCGGGGCGTAGATACGTCGGATCTTAGAGCGGCGGGACGTAGAGAGGGAGTCGGGACACAGAGCGTCGTATAGGAGGGAGTCGGGACGTAGTACGTCGGATAGGAGAGAGGGCGTTAGGACATAGAGCGTTGGATAGGATATAAAATTTGACGAGAAGGATTTTGGTACTCAAATTTTTAAATTTGGATCTAAATTACAAATTTTATGTTCTATAGTAAACCTATAAAACCCTTCACAGACTACTATGTGAAGAGTATAATAAAAGGAGCTTTTATGATATCTTAGTTACGTATTTTTTAGTACTACCGAGCTCTTTCGGGACTTTAAGGTGGGCTATTCACTTCCAGATAGCAATGTTGAGTACATCTGCATCGTTACCTAATACTACATGAATAATTTGATACAGAATTTTATTTATTTGTTTCAATAGCTCTTGCGAACAACGCCCAAATAGAATAGTTTCAAAATCTAGATGACTACGAACCAAGACATTATAAATCATAAGAGAAGTAGATGGATGGGCACCACACCATATACGGCATAAACATGTCATTAATGCCTTTCGGAGCTTTGCCACATTTACACATTCAGTTTAAATTTCATTTTCCTAGGGAATTTTATTTCCATTAATTCAATCTCGTCTCGTAATGCGAGATAAAACTGTTTTCTCTTCTTGATGAAAAGGCGATTCTCTCGCTCAAGGGAACCTTTCTTTTCTCGTTTTTCTTGTGATAAAAACTCATTTCAAATGAAAATTTTTGGAAGTTAGAATTTTTTGATGCCATTGTGTGATATCAAGTGAAAGCATTTTGAGGCTTGTTTTTAAAAATATTTAGTACTTTCGATTGTTTTAAAATTTGCTGTTTTTCCAACATATCTCCGAAAGTAACCTCAGAAAAATCAGACTGAACGAAAAGCATCACGATTACTGTTCGTTGGATAGATCTTTTATACAAAGAAAGAGAGCTGTATTGGAGAGGGTGGAAAGCAAGTGGACTGTATATTTAATGTTGATGGAGGTTACTTCTTCGAAAAGTTTCCGCCCTAACCAATACAAGAGAGTAAAATTGTTTGTGTAGAACTCACCACTTTCACACGAATAAAAGTCATACACAAACTAAATGGTTTATTTAAATAAACAGAGAAGTCAGAATGAATTCTCACAATATAACTATAATAAAAATGTATTGTCTTAGACGTGGCAACACTGCACGGTTACTCCAATTTTCCTTAAAATTAAATACAAGAAAAATAGTCAAAAACTTACATATTATATATGTCACTTTCAGCACTGACTTTATTAGCATTAGTTAAAAAGAGAGAATCAAAATACATAGGGGTTGGTAAAATGGACATTTTAGTCGGTTTTAACGCTAGCGCACAAAACAACACCAATCATATTTGAGTAGTGGGGTACTACTGCCGCGAGTACTGGGTTCGAGCGTAACTGGTCGGGAATCGGGAACCGCTCCGTGGTGATGCAGAGAAATACGTGGTATTCTGAAACCCGATCAGAGAGATATGGAAATATTTTATAATTGTACAGGGTAGAGTTAAAATTAAGTCGCGCAGGTGGATTTTAATTTTCAAAATCCAACAAGAGCTCTGCTCTACTGATACTTTGTATCAGCGCCGGCCAACAAAATCTAACAACATATTAAATCTTAATTAATTTAAAACATCTACTGACCCATTTTATTTGGTTAAACTTTTTTATTTTGCTTTAAAATTTTTATAATAATGACTTGTTTGTCTGTTGTCACTTTGAAATCCATAATCAAGCATAAAATTTGATAAAAATTCATTAACTGGAATATTTAATGAATAGAGTAAAATGAAATCACGGTTAACCTTTTTCGTTTGAAATTTTAATTTTAAGTCGATAAAAAACTTCTTGAAACTCCAATTTAAAAATCACTATTTATAAAATCTCAATTACACATGTATTATTTGTTACCATTTAATACATAATAGAACATGTGTATTATAGTTAACATTTTGACTATCTAGAAATCTGATATGTTTAAATTTTAAATTACTATAAACAATTGAAAATTTCAAATATGCAAAAACTAAATTGTTCGAATGAGCCCGAAAGAAACGAGAAATTCTCGTCGAATCTATTTTAGAGAGAAAACGGCTCTTTCGTCTCGTGGCATCACTAGAGGAGTCGCTTAGCTTAATTAAAGACAACAATGCTAAATGAAGAAAAAAGATGTTAGTGGGTTTTAAACTTTTTTAATAATTAAAAATCTCACAGATATACTTTTTTGCATTTAAAATATTGTCTATTACAAAATAAATATTTATATAATCAACTCGTGTAAAACAATCAACAACATTAAATGCTTATAAACAATTGAGTTCAGTTATGTGGTCATTCATTAAATGATAAATCTTACTAAAAATATGCCATTTATAAAATTTTGTACAGAAGGCAGAGGGTTTTTATGTAATCTCATAAAATGTATTGCATTATATTAAATCACTTATATCTATAAAAATAAAATTTAAAATATTTATACTATAATAAATAACAAATCTATGTACAAGTTTTTTAGCACTTATTTAAAAATTACTCGGAATAGCTAACATCATAGTTCGAATGTCTATAAAGAATGTAGTGTTGGATGATGAAGAATATGTCGAAGATGACACTGAATAAACCTAAACCAAACTTAGTCGGATCGCCAAAGATAGACACCCAATCATCTGCAAATAAACAAAGTCATCATTAATAACATTAAGCAGATAATATAAAAGGTAAAGTAAAACATAAGTTCATTGAACGATTCGATCAAAACATTCCTGAATTTATTTATTTAATAATTGTTTATTATTATTAAAATTGGTGTGTAAGTTTTGGTTGGTCCACCATGTATCGAACATTCTGGGAACTTTTTCAATTAAATCTTGTACATTTTAATCCTGGGAACAAAAATTTCAAACCTAACTTACCATAATTATAAGAATTTACAATCATCTGGAACATACTGAGGAGTCCACCTGTAAAGTCCAAAAATATATTTCCTATACTCCATCCAATTGTGCTTTTTCTTTTGTAATTCATATACGCCTAAAATAGATAAAATACCTGTTAGAACCGCTATAAAATGCCTAAATAATATTTAATGTTTTAAGTTGGTATTGTACAATGACATATGACATTGGACATTTTTATTATTCATTATTCTGTGTGAAGCCCACTGTGTTGCTAATACAATAAAACTAATTCAAAAGTAAATCCCGAGTTAGTTATTTAATACTTTATGAATGAAAATAAAATGTTCTCACAGATAATTATGTAGCAAAAAAACTTAAATAGGAAGATATTACCAGTCCCACTTAAATAGTGTTAATTCCACACCTATTCAACAGATTCCCCATAACAAATACCCAGTACATGTTTATATTTTATAGATACGTAGCCTGAAATCAAGAGCTGCTTGTGAATAATATATATGCACATGGCGCGTTGGGAAAGTTGGGTGTGCATAATAACATACACATGGCAGTCAACGTGTTAACCCCAAAAGCTAAGCTTGCCCGGGAAAGGGACGGTTATTATTATTATAATTATTATTTGCTGTGCGCTCCAGGGCGACTTAAAGATGATTGATGGTACCATTTGATTTACAGGTGCAATAAAAGAAAAGTCCGTGTGATACAAAGGTCTTTTCTATTTATTTTTTTTTTCTATGATGGTTTCGAAATATTCTCTCATCTCTCAACGTAAATGAAAATATTTTCTATTCAAAAGTATACTTACTTGAGGCATATACTTAATCAGTGTGATTGTTAATTTGACATATGAACAATAATAGAGGAAATCCAACCAATTGATGACGCTCGTAAGTGATAAAATTACACTGATAAAAATAAAAACTCCGAAAATTCCTAAAATAACTCTTGCGGTGGTCGAGACACGTTGTTCATCTCTTTCATAGATAAAGCACTGAATAATCGTCAAAAGTGTGGCTATTGTGGCATGGACGGCAAATACAATGTCGTTTACTTGCACCGGGTTTAAACCACGGGGGTATCTTTGGAAATATTCATCCTAAAATAAATAAAAATATATATTTAAAATAAGAACATTAATAGGTTCAGTTACGACTTAGGTATTGTGCATGATACAAAAAATTACATAGCAGACGAAATCTAGTCGAGTTTGCGCATGACGTATTGTGGTGCGGAATATGGCCATGAGAATAGTAAAATTTATTACTGCGCACTTTTTTCGATCAGCTGATACCTCAAATTCGTAAAAGTCACGGCTGTGGACCAAAATACGTTACCATGACGTAGTATCAATCTGCGTAATATTATATTTTCTTTATACAGTTTTATGAGTATTACGTAATAATTTTTATAGTAGTGTTGCACTGCATTTAGAGATGGAGATTCGCAAATCCATAACTGCGATAGAAAACTCCGCCATTTTGAACCCTTATTACGTGTTGCCTACATCTTGGCGCAATATTTTTAATAGGTGCGTTTTAATCATCCGCTTCTGCTTCCGGAATTGTCGGTTTAGTCGTTTTAACCTGTCCCAACTAATCTGCAATCACCTTAGTACTTGTTGTTGGATCTTCCTCGACAATATTTAAAATGTGTTCTTCTAAACTCACTTCATTTTCAATTTACCATACTGAACAATTTAAATTTACTGATTCGGATAATCACACTACTGAAATCACACTAGACTGAAATACAATAGTGGTACACAATTGTCTCGTGATTCATAAGAAAAACAGAAGAAAAAAAGATAAAACAAACAGACTTTTTATTTAGAGCAACTCTTCGTACACAAGTCCAGGCCCGGATTTAGAATTTTTAATTCTCTTTTTTATTTTTGAGTTTTTATGTTTATTTTAACGATTTCTATATACATAGTAAAAAAATGTATCTAAATATAACTAAAAAAAATGACCTGTTCGAGGTCCGAGCAATTTTTTGTTACTTGTCTAATAAACCCAGCCATTTGGTGTACCGCTCAATATGCCCAACTCTGAACCTATAGGTTAATATATGGATGAACGAATTCTTTAGTTTTATAATAATACTTACCTTAATTTCTGTTATAAAATACAATCCCAAGTTGAATAAGGAGTACAAGGTAAATCCAACAAGATTAAGTAAAATAAAATCAAAGTTTAATCCAACAACACTGAAAAATAAAAAAAAAATAAAAAATATTTAAATACATTAATAGGTTTTTATGCAATGAAACGTTTCTTGATAAAAATATAATTAAGAGCAAACCGTCAAAAGCAAACATGTTTTGAGGATTTTCTAATATATTGGGAATACTTCGCGATGTGTTTCGAGAATATTGAGAGCTTTAAATTTGTGCAAGGATAAGACAGAGATATTTAAGAAAATAAGGTGGGAAACCCTCTCATTTAAAAACTACTACATACATATTAAAACTGATTTTTTTTCTTGAAATTCCTTTTAAATAAATACTATTCGAAGGTTTACAAAAAAATCAAGGTTTCTTCACCCTAAGTTTTGTAATTATTGGTAAAAATTTTACAAAAATTGGACTAAAAATAAAGACTTAGAAGGAATTTAAATTTGTCAAGGTGTTCGGTTTGCTCTAAAATCTAAAATCATTTTGAAAATGTTTTTTTTTTATAATTTAAAAAAATAAAAATACAGTAACGGATTTTCTTATAGTCTGCACAAAGTTTGATATTTGAAAACGATTATTTATATAAACAACTTTTGTTTATATATCACTCACGTGTTTGTTAGTAAATAAAAATATGTTAATTCATTGTACCTTTCGATTAAGCACTTGATTATTTTATTCAATAATTGAATTGGAATTATTAATGAATGTTACCTAACAAAAATGTCATCAAGCTTTTTTTACTTATTATGTACTGTGGACGTACTTTGTGAAAGTACAGGTAGTGTGCCGATGCAGGTTTTAATAGTCCCTCATCTGACTACACGGAAGTAGCGAAATCGGACGACAGAAAAAGCTTGCAAAGGGATTTTTTTATCGTTATTGACGTCTAGAAGCATAAGGTCAACTCGGGGAAGTGCGTATTCGGGGGAAGTGCATTTTCCTCACATTCTTTGATTACTATACGGGGCAACAGAGAGGTCCTACACGCCCAACATAGGGCGCGGCCATTTTGAACCCTATGACACAGTTTATAGCTAAAGAATCAGATCGCTCACTCTGCGTCGGCACTTTTTATCTCAATGTTCCAGTTTATACACTGCGCAACTCAGATAATACAATATATGACAACCGCCTATAATAAAACAGCAGTCTTCTGCGTATCCTGAATTTGTATCCCTGGAGTGGATGTTATTTTGGAACTTTCAACTGGTCCGAGTGAGCTGATTCTTTAGCAATAAACTGTGACACTTACTCTGAGACTGTGACTCCAAAAATAATATTCACTGACACTGACAGCAGCAAGCAAAATATCAGGTGCGTTTTAATCATCCGCTATTGCTTCCGGAATTGTCGGTTCAGTCGTTCTAACCTGTCAGATTAAAACAAGAAAACCGACAATTCCGAAGCAGAAGCGGATGATTAAAACGCACCTATTAAAAATATTGCGCCAAGATGTAGGCAACACGTAATAAGGGTTCAAAATGGCGGAGTTTTCTATCTCCTTTTAAAAGGTACTCAGAAAGATGCGCAGTGCGACCATTCTCCGTATAGTAAAAGAAAATCAAAGTATGTGATTTTCCTGCTGATAATAGGTTTGTTTTAGTTCACGTTCTAGAATTGTTCCAGAACCCTGCGCAGAACTATTGCGCAATGGTCCTTAATTCTGAACTGTTCTGTAACCATTCCATTGTATTCAAAACCAAAACACTGCCAGAACAGTTAAATGTCAAAAAGTAAATAATAAATAAGAATGAAGAAATAACACAGGGCCAGTGTCTAGGCAAGAAAGAGGTCACATAATATTGTAAAACGTAGATAAATTAAATAATTTATTCATAACAATCTTATGACCCAACATCAACTACTCCATTGTCATTAGTCATTGGATGGATCTCATACTTTGATTTTCTTTTACTATACAGATGATGGTCGCACTGCGCAGCTTTCTGAGTGCCTTTTAAAAGGAGATAGAAAACTCCGCCATTTTGATCCCTTATTATGTGTTGCCTACATCTTGGCGCAATATTTTTAATAGGTGCGTTTTAATCATTCGCTTCTGCTATGTACTTTCCCGAGTTGACCTTAAGTATTTTTTCATTACCAACAAAAAACGAAAAATCCATCGATAAGCAACTTTATTTTGAATGTTACAGGTCACATGACAGCTCCCATCACAAGGACCTAGTACATATTGTTCACAACCCTCCACTGTACCCAACAACAAATAACAAGCAAAAAACACGACATGCACTTTTTGTAGTCGGATGAGGGACTATAAAATATTTAGTGTTCGGATGATCAGGAAATTATCTTTGAGGGAATGACTTCCAAAGACTAGCCACTCCTATAGTCTATTTTTATGTATGAGAGAGTAATAAAACAGCATTTCTAATAATGCAAAACTTACGGTCATTTTAAATATTTTTACAGAATAATCTAAATATTTCCTAAAATTGTAATAAATGTACCTGAGCTATTACAAGTTTTGGGTCTTTTATTGGTCCTTTATAAACATAAGCTGTACAGAATAATAGAAAAAGGTTTGGACAGGCCAAAAGCCCTGTGTATTAAAGATTACATAGTCGTATTTTAAGATTATTTTCAATAAGTACCTATTTGCCAATTTTGTTTTATTTTAATTCCAAGAATTTCTTACAGTAATCGAATTAAAAGTAGATAAATACCTTCCCAACAAATTTCACCGAAAATGCGATTATAGGTTTTCCATTTAGTAAGGAGGTCCAAGTTGTGTATTTTTGACAGTTTACTAAAAATGTCGTTTAGTTGCAACTTGCAAGGTGCAGTGTAAATTCTAGTGTGATCATGGAAAATTTGGAAGGGCCGCGTAAACGACAAAAAATCGGTCCTTTAACAGTTAATGAAAAAACATTAATATTTAATTGTTTTAAACCATTTACAGACAAACATTTATGTAAAAGTGTTGATGACACGGTGGAATTAGTTAGTAGTACGCTTGGTGTTGGGAAATCTACGATTTACAGAGTTGTTAAAGAAGAGAAATGTGGCGAGTTTCAAACAGCACGTAAAGCTCCAGGAAAACCAAAATTTCAATTAGAAAATCTTTTGAAAGAAAGACTTCGAAGGAAAGTGCATGCGTTCTTCTTTAGAAAAGAATTTCCAACAGTAGACAAAGTTCTTGTCACGGTTCGAGATGATAGGGATTACCCTGAAATGAGTCGAAGCACACTATGGAAACTTTTAAAAGAAATAGGTTTTCTATGGAAAAAGCATTCCAGAAAGTCTATTTTAATAGAAAGAAGCGATATTGTAGTATGGAGAAGAAATTACCTAAAGACTATAAAAGAAATGAGAAACCAAAGAAGAAATATATTTTATTTAGATGAAACATGGATCAACGAGGGACATAAACCAAATAAATTTTGGCAAGATGAAACTGTTACAAGTCGAAGACAGGCTTTTTTAAATAATTTATCTACTGGTTTAAATCCACCATCAGGAAAGGGGCGCAGACTAATAATAGTACACATCGGTAGTTCAAACGGTTTTGTTAAAGGTGGTTTATTGACTTTTGAATCTACTCGTACCGGTGACTACCATGAGGACATGAATGCTGATGTCTTTAAAGAGTGGTTCGAACAAATTATAGATCTTCTTCCTCAGAACTGTATAATAGTAATGGATAATGCAAGTTATCACTCGAGACTTATAGAAAAAATGCCCACAACCAAGTGGTTTAAAAAAGATTTACAGAATTGGCTAAATTCAAAGAATATTAAGTTCCATCCCGGTTCTGCGAGAAAAGAACTGTATCATTTGTGTTCTCTTCATAAAGAGAAATTCAAAAAATATGAAATTAATGAAATTGCAAAAATCGTGGGATGACGGTGGTTAGATCACCACCATATCATTGCGAAGTAAACCCGATTGAACTGATATGGGCACAGATGAAGGGAGAAGTTTCAAGAAAAAATAATTCTTTTAAAATGAGTGATATTAAACAGTTGTTTTTGGAGGCTGTAAATAATGTGAAGCCTGAAAACTGGGAAAAGGCAGTAAATCATACGATTAAAGAAGAAGAGAAAATGTGGAAGTTGGACAATATTACTGATGAAATGATCGAGCCACTCATTGTAAATATTGGTTGCGACAGTTCATCTTCTGATTTGGATTTGTAGGTAAGAAGTAGTTTTTATATTAAAATTATTATTTATGAACGTAACGTTGTTTAAAAGTCAAAGTTTAAACCCTTATACCTACATAACCCGTTTGACACAATGTTCTTAACATACCTTGTGGAAAAATAAAACATTTTAGAAAAAATTGCACTTTTTTACCTTCAGCTGTTTAGAAGTTATAAGCAGGTTAATTAGGTGAAAATATAAGTGTATACTCGAGGAATAACTTCAAAAAATATTTAGTACGCCTATGGATTACGAACGCTTTATTATTTTAATACTCTCTCATACATAAAAATAGACTATAGCAGCAGCAAAAAATTTAAAATTTGGTAAAAAATAGCAAAAAAATCAGCTTTTTTTAGCTTACAAATCATTCTTTTACTACATTAATAAATACATGAAGGATATTAATTTTTTCAAACAAATTGTCTAAATAATATATAAGGTAACAAGTACTCACCTTCTTCGTTTCCAATTGATATAAATTTGTGGGTAAAATGAAATTGACCATGCTACAAAATATATCCAACCGATTACAGCTGAAAATGTATCTAGCGAGTCATTTTTAAAAACTGTGGCTCGTAAAAATAATTGACTCACATCAGTACTGAAAATTAAAAAAAAACCTGTATAAACGACAATAAAAACTAATGTCGTTTTTGTGTATGTAAAATACTTGGACATGATACAATATACCTACATAATATTATATTTTAACCAAAATATATCACACACGTTTCGCTTTATGGTAAAAAAGTTGATAAGAAAATGCCATACTTCAGTTGTAATTGGCTTAAAAAATATAGTTAACTTATTTAAAAGCACGTTATCAACGCATTCATATTTAAAAACAACAAATTAGGATTTAAAAACAATATTCTATCTATTTAAAAACTAAAATATTGTGAAAACGTGTTTTAAATTTTTTTCTCGCCAATTTGAGATCTCTTAATATTCTGTAGGTATCAATAATTTAGAGATAGGTATGAGTTGTGAAAAACAATGTATTAAAGTAAAATAATTTGTTCAAGAAGAGTGGATATGAACAACCCACTTGAGTTGTACAGTATATTTTTTTTACGGCCCACTAACGAAAATCAACAAATTAAAAAATATATTTTAGGTTATTAAGATAAAATAATTTATGAATTTTACTAATTTATAAAATAAACATGAAAAAAATAATATTTAATTTAATTAGCCCAGATTCAATCCCGGGATTTTCGCGTGGAAAGTAGACGCTCTGTCCACTTTTAGGATTTTAGTTTTAATACTCGTAATTAAATTAGTTTCATATAGTTTGATTAAAATTTAAATTTTTAAAGTATATTTAATCTTAATAACTAAAAAATATACTGACAATTAGTTTGACAGAATTGTCACTTCCTAGAATGGATATGAGATATATTCGTTTAGTTGAACGCAATAGCATACTTTTTCGTCTTGTAGACTGTGCTTAGATAAACTAATATCCATGTGGGTGTAGAAAAAATATTTTATTATCTAGTCTATACCAGTTTTAAAACAAAAACTAACTTAAAAGTTTTAAAGTATTTCACTTACCGATTTGTAGTAGAATTTGCGAATACATCCGAAAGTCCAGCACCTATTGCTTTTATTTCTATCGGTATTACATCATTATCACTAACGTTGTTGAGATCTATTTCAATAAAATTGGAATTATTTAATTTTAATATGTCTTTGTGTTGAACTATAAGTTTTATGGTATCATTCTTTTCCAAAGGAGTCCTAGAATTAAAAATGATATTTTAAATTAAGAACAATGTGTTTATGAGTTTAATTAATGTTTGTAAAATCCATCATCAGGGACGAGTCACAGTTCAGATACTAAATTATTTGATTATGGGCCTTCTTTAAGAGTATTAAACTTGCCAACAAAAGAAGTTATAGTTTGAACAAAAGTACCTCATACGCTTCAATATTAAGTTCAAAGTATGACTCTGAAATTCTCATCAAAAAAATTTGAGTCGCCATTAAATAAGAAGTACATAAATCAAACATTGGATTTGATCCAAGCTGATATGAATACCTATTTCAGAAAACCTAGATATTTTGGTAACTTTACATTGAAGACTTTTTCGCTGCCTACAGTACTGCTTCAAACTTACGAAACAGAAATAAAACATTACAGACACAATTAAGATGAGTGAAAAGTATGTGAAATTTATTAGTTTTTGGACGCATACTATATATATTTGTACATAGTCTAAAATATAAACTATCATCAGTAATATAAGAACATTTAGTTACCTAATTTAAATAAAGTAACTAGATAATTTATATTTTAAACGAATATTAGAAAAGTAAATTAAATTCCTATATTTTTAATATCCTGAAATACTTCTACTTATGCTAAATAGGTAAATATATATTGGTTTGTGTTATTCTTATTATGAATATTTTGTCATGTTTAAATTAAATGCTTTATGTATTTCTTCAGTTCTACCATTGTATAGCTTTTCAACAGGTATAGATATTTTATAGAATTCCAAATCCTTGCTGTAATTCTAAATATTTTAGAAGCAATAAAATATTTATTATATTTTTTGACATGACAATATTGTCATATTTTGTTTTCAGTTCAATAAGAACGTACCTATCTTTTAAAACATTATTTTGTACTTTTTTAATCTATTTGCAGTCACTATTTTCACATTTAAAATAACCCAATGCAATCCGTTTACGTACGCTACTGCTGAAGATTCTAATATGACCGAGAAAGCCTGCATTAGAAAAAGGAAACAATGATTTTATTAGAGCGACATCAACATTGAATAGATTTATACAGGGGTAGCCTATCTGTCAATATATTATCTAAGGTTTTTTTATGTATTATACTTATTGTGTTTGACACAAAATAGACATCGTATGTCGCAACCCTTCGATATACCAAACCATCCCACTGGCGATTCATTTGTTTGGAATGCAATTGTAAGTTTATTTGACATAAGCCTACTCTTCGTAGAGAAAAAAATGTTTTGGTACTTATATGTCGGTAATCATTTATGATTCAATTAGGTATTTACAGAAAATACTGTTGGATAATTTAAAATATTAGAAGATAAAATATTTTAGATTAGTCTACAGTTTGTTTTAAAATACAGATTAGCTCTCTTTTATTTAATTTAAATGAAAACAGACAGGCGTGTGCCAAAGTTACTTTGACGTGTGCGCAAATAATGTCAAATTATGACAATTCGTGGAAAACGTAAACTTTCTAATTAGGCATTCCAACGACCTGTCCAAATGGCTACCAGTGGGTAATGACAGTTTAGATATGGCAACCCTGTTGTCATGTTGTCATTAACAGGGCCAATGATACATATATAGTTATATAGATTGCTTACAGTTGGTCGTTTGCGAGCGGCCATATTGCCTGGCAAATATTTATTAATTTGAATCGGTTTGGCAAAAATGTATTTTAAAACCAATTTTTAGCCTTTAGATATTTAAAAAATAATAATTGCATACATTTTTACTTGAAGGCATAAGCTTATGTTTATTTTGAAAAATATGGATAATCAATCTATGTAACTACCTATTTCATTGACCTTGTCAAATCACCAGGCCTACAACGTTGCCATAATTTTGCCATATCATAACCCGTCAAAACCCACTGGTAGCCATTCAGTTTGGAATGCCTAATTAGATTTGAATGTGCAAAAGCCTACTTTGGATAGTGATCATAGAAAAACAATTTTGTGAGAAGTTTTCGACAATAATTAGGTTGGAGGTTCATCAGTAAAGTCGAGAATATTTGATGTTAGTTCAAGGGGTAATGGTGGTTCGATCTTTTATAAATGCTCGATGAGACGTTAATGCGATGTGAGACACAAATGAAATGTCTACGAAATCAAAGAGGCGATTGTATGTATAACCTTCTTATTGGTTGGATTTCGCATCGGTGATGCTTAACGGGAGTTCAATGAATATAATTTGCACATTTCGACAAGTAACTACTTTGTCCAATTCTGATATGTGACAGGACCGGCTTATGTTTCGTTAGTGTCAGAAACTCGATTGTTCTAGATATGGTTTTGGTAAATTCATTAATTTCATTATTCAGCTGCTTTAAAAAATCAGTTTCTATAGGGACCGTGCGTGAAACATAGAGGCAGCACTACTGCCGAACTTAGCCCTCTCTAGTGTTTAATTTTAGAATTAAATGGGGTAAACATTGCAAGTAAATAATAAACGGTATTTTTTTAAATATTAAATATGGTTAAAAATAGATACCGGCCCGTACCAAACAATCGTGTACATGGTCAAAATGACGTAAAATGTGAAACATTATTAAAATCTGGACATGCATATACATTTTAAGCAAAAAGATTTAAATGGCTAAGTGACAATAAATTGTAAAGTTGTACCTTAAACAAGTGTATCCAATGTTAAAATATCGGTATTTAGTAACACTGAATTTAAAAGTATTACAATAACATTTAAAAAATGTAAATTAATAAAAAAGATTGATAATAATAATTATAAATCTTTTTAGCTTTATGTTAATCGAAATGTCATTCATCCACTGACGTTTATGAGATGTTCAATGATACATATTATAGATTGCTCACCCATCTATAAAAAAATTATGAAAAGCGGGTTGCAATGTGCCTTTCCTAGTGCTCACTAAATAGAGCCGTTCTAGCCCAAATGTGTTTTAAAATAAAATTTCAGCATTTTAATCTTTAGAAAAAGAAAATAATTAAAGTTTTACTTCAGGACATGTCATTATGTATTTGGAAAGTTGAGTTTTCATGTAGTTAAATAATATTAAGAGATCTAAACAATTTTTATAATAGATGGATATAAATAATTTTAGACTACTATTTCAGAAACAATTCTACATAAAATACATAATTGCAATATGTAATACAATTTTGAAAAGGTAATGTAAACAATTTTGATATGAGGTATAAACAACTTTGGTAAGAGTTGTAATTGGACACTTATCTATTATTCTGAATAATGTTTAATGGTAATGTCACTAAAAAAATTTACAAAAAATCACTGGATTTTTAATATTTTAAAGTTTGTTACAATCTCTTTTGACAGTAATTGCAATGTATTATTTATGATTTGTTTATTTTAATAATAAATGAGAAATAGTTAATAAATTGTAAAGAGGGCCGTGATATTTTTGTCAAATTGGACATTCTTATTTCATAGAGAGTTATTGCAAGTTCAGTTAAGGTCAGTCATTATTAGTGCCGCTCCTATTTTGACATCTGAGCATGCGCAGATCACTAACTTTAATAAAGATTGTGCCTGTCCTTAATAAGAAAGTTATTGCAAGTTCACTTAAGGTCAGCCACTATTAGTGCCGCTTTTATTTTGACATCTAAGCATGCGTAGATATTTATGTTCTAAAACTGACTTTATTAAGGATTGTGCCTGTCCTTAATTGTGGATGTTTAAGGGCAGCAGGTAGTGGCGACTTTATAGTTTTCGGATGCGCTCGCCGACATTCGTATCCGTTAGAATTTTTGTAATATTAAATATTTACTATAATCGTCATTTAAACCTTCTAAAATTATAATTTGTAATGTCTCTTTAATATTATAGACAACAAAAAAGATTAACTATAATTTAAAGTTTAGTGGCTGGCTTTATAGAAATTTGCAATATCTCTTTATTAAGGACAGGCACAATCTTTATTAAAGTTAGTGATCTGCGCATGCTCAATGTCAAAATAAGAGCGGAACTAATAGTGACTGACCTTAAGTGCACTTGCAATAACTCTCTAATAACATTCTACATTAGTTTTAATCAACAGAATAAACCATTATCTGTAAAATTATATTTATATAAAATGTTCATTTAAATATGTAAAAATCTTAATGACAAGAAAACACTAAAGATTCTAATTTCTAAACCGGTTCTGTAGATGATTTCTTTACAACTAAGTGCTCAAAATTGATACAAGCTAGATAAAAAGAAAACTTTGCCCAGTGAAATACGCTTTTCGTCGTCTGATTTACATATGGATAAGCAATCTTTGTAATTATGTATATCATTGGGTGTGAGGCATAATTGTGCTCTGTGGAAATTTATAAAATTTCTTTACTATCGAATGAAATCCAGGTTTCCAAAGTGATGTGTTTGTACATCCACGGATGCAACAAGTTTTTTCGATATTGATATTACGAAAATAATTCGACTTCGTTTTATTAATAATTATTAAACAATAAATGCCGTATAAAACATTAGTAAATACCCCCATAAAGTTCACATTTTTGTCACCAGTTAGCGTTAAAGTCATGACGCACGGTCCCTATAGAAATGATCTAGATCGTAAGTAACTAATAGAGTTGGTCGCAAGTAAATAATCAGAAACGTTGTATTGTCATTATTAATCACCCACTTTTATTTAGGCAATCCAATCACGTGATTTTAAATGGTTGACGATTGGGAATAACAATAAGAGTGAGTGTTTTGTAACAATGAGGTTATTAATTTAAGCGTGTATTATTTTTTTGTAGTTTATAGAGTTTTTTTCTGGAAATATTAAATGTATGATTTACAATAATAGTCAAACACTAATGAAAAGGTCAGATCAACAAACTTTGTTGTTTTTGCCAATTTTTAATGTTTGAAAAATAGGGCTTGTTATATTATACATTTTATGACTGAAAATAATATGTTTGTTAACTGAATATGCATTTAATTCATACTTACTTGAAATGTAGTGTAAACGTATGCGTTTCATGTAATTTTATCCGTAAGTCATGAGTAGATATACTAATATCACATAATGATGGCTGGCATACTGAAAAAGAAAATTAGAATTAATTATCAGATCAACGTGAATTATTTAGAGTAATCCAGTACTTAAACTTAGAATGTATGCAGTTTTAAATATTTTAAACCGAGTTTTAAACGTTGTTTATTTATATATTCATTGTTTTTATTTGAATCACCTCGTGTTTACATTTGATATGCGACTCTTGATCTTGACCTACATCCCAACACGGAAATAATCGGCAGTAGTGCGCCAAAGTTCGCATGAGATTTTGAAGGTTACGGTACAAGACATTTTTCAATGGCAGGTATACAGGGTGGATACTTTTTAATTGAAACGTATTATTTCGTAAATCGTTGGTAACACAAATTTAGTGAAATGAGGTATTAAATTTGTAATGGGAAAAGTGCATTCACAAATAAAATATAAATTTAAATACTAGGAAAGAGCTTTTTATTTATTATATCGCTACAGCGAATGTCTTATGACTAACTCATTAATATTATTAATATAGGATAGTATGCATTTATGCTTTTATCAGCAGTTTCAGTTTTAATAGACAGCCTGTTTTTAATGTAATATGAAACTCTATACAAGAAATATGAAACATATAGGTATATATAGGGTGTATCTAATATGAGGGGAAAGTATATTTCGAGGCCTAATCTAAGGAGGTTTTGAAAACCAAAATATCAGGGCCGGTTTCCGAGTCATTCGATAAAAAACAAATTAGTCCCATTTCGTTATTTCACTACAATACGATTATTTTCAAAAATAGACAGAAACTCATTCATAGTTTTTTGTTTTATATCAAGTTGTGCATATGATAGCGTATATACTTTTTTTATTTGATGTTTAGTAAACTAAGGACCACTATCAACTTCTTTATTTGAATATGGACCAGTGTTATTCCAACAGATCGTTTAATGCATATTCAATAATGTAACAACAAATCGTGATTAGTCAATATTTCGGCAGATTTGAAAATCATTAGGCAAGTTTACTAGTACGGACATGTATATTTTAGTTAAAAATGTTTGGATTAGTAAATTATTTTACAAATGATGAATATTAAATACCAACGGCAAAATTTTATTCTATGGTTGTAATCTTCACAAAAAATGTTAAAATAACAAGGTTAGAAAATATTTTCACAATATTTGTAACAATTTCACAGTTTTGTGTTATATTCTGAATACAAGGCGTTCATTTATAATTTGGAAAAAAAGTTTTTCCGTTTTTACCCTATGCATCTAAATATAAATTTTCAAATAAAGTAGGTGGATCAAAATTTTAATTGTTGACGGTTAATAATTTACTTGCTTTTTCAAAAGTTCAAGAGTGTAAAACATTTCAATTGAAAAGTAGCCACTCTGTATATTGGATATTGCATATAGAAACTCTGGCAGCATTCTTTGCAAATTCCTAACATTTTATTACTGTCTAATAGAGAGTTATTGGAATTAATGTTATTTGGTCAAGCATTATTTAGGAACGACCTTATTTAAATGACACTTTACCGTAAAACTCGTATAATTGGAAGTTGAAAATTTTAAAGTTAAATTAAGTTGACAGTTATTTATTTTTAATCTATAAAAACTTAATAGAATTAGTTTGTTTTCTAATTTAAATATTATTTTGTATAGTTATTTTTTCAAAGAATTTATTATAAACTTTCCAAAACACTACAAATAGGAAGATAACCTTAAGCACATGTTGAGAATGGGGTGTTAATACACTGCGACCTAAAAGATCTATTGTGCCACCTTAAGCACATAAAGACGCCCTTAATACTGCCTAAACCAATTATATCCAGATTTAACAATACGCTATATTAGTGATGACGTAATTTGTTTCCCTAGATCAGAGCTGGGCAGTATTTATATTTGTAAATACTTTTTAGTATTTAAATACTAGGTATGTAAATACTTTTAGTATTTAAATATTCTTCTGAAAATATCGTTCCATTTATACCTACAAATTGAATGGATGGAACGATATTTCTAGAAGTGGGGTAGCTCAGTGCTACACTTTAGATGCAAAGTAAAAGACCTATAGTAACCAACTTTTGTCACAAAGTAGGTATTTATTTATTCTTTATTGTTTTAGAACAAGAAAATGGCTTCAAAACGTTAGAAAGAAGATTTGATATAGGAAGAAAAATATCTGAATTTCCATTATTGAGTTTGCACTCAACATTTTTAAATACCACACCATTAGACATTCGTTTGGAAGATAAGAACAAATAACGAACAAAAATTAAAATATATTTGTCATGAATAGATTTACAATAATTAATAGACTGTAAGTGTAGTAGTCTTTTTAATAAACAATTTAGCGTAATTACATTGTTTAAATTTATTTACCAGACCGTGAGAGTGCAGTCGATATTTTATACAACCTATGTTATCAGGTTTTTAAATTTCCCGCTGCGTAATTGGTTTGATATCGATGAAAGGGCCACATAGTGGGTCAGATGTTAACTGCGTTAAAGCTAGTCGTTGTTAAGCATTATCTTCTTATATGTGTTTCCTATCTTTATTTCCCTTATAATGACATAAACCAAAATGTAATAGATTTATAACTGTAGTGAAAAACAACCTTGTTTCGTCGGGTCACTCTGACTTTGATCCAACGTTGCCACATTTAGATTTTAGCTTCTTTGGCTAGTTTTAGAATTTTTTTTTGTAGATTTTAGATTTCTATAAATTATTAAAAAAACTCCAATTACTTAAATAAAATAATTGTATTGCTAAAAGCATTAGGGTTATACCTTAGATAAAAGAGACCAGAGATATAACATACACCGGTGTTTAACCTGCGCAAATGTTACCAATTTTTAAAGAAAGGTTAAAGGAGTGGGGGAACTAGGCAGAGACCCGAACTCTGTGACAGGGACCGGACTTTGTTTATTAGCTTAGCATCGTAATGAACTATTAGATTTATTTAAAATATACTTTTAATGGAATTTGGTATTATGAAATAAAATTAACGTGATTTTTTAATATAAAACAGATGCCACATTTTATGTAAAGAGAAGGACCTTTTATAGAATATTTCGTTAGCGTTTATTTACTACGGACTTTTCAGCAAGAGACTACAGTAAAATGTTGAAATAGAATATTGTTAATAGAGCAAGAGATGGTACTCTCATTGCCTACGAGTATTATAAAAAAAGCATGCAAATAATGCAAATCAAACCTTGTAAATTGTACATTATATTTTTTCTACGGCTATTACATAATATTAAAAATTAGTCAAAACGAGAAAATGCTGTTTTGTATTGTAACCTCAGCTTCTTCCTTTAGGAATATTAATTAATATAGATGATAAGTCACATAAAACTCTAGAAATTCATGTCTAAAACCAGATAACATTTTAAAATTTAAACCTATTAAAAGTCATTTGGTCGCTAGGGGTGGGTGATTATCGAAATAAATTATCGATCATTGAAAATAATCGATTATTTTCAATCGATCGATTATTTTCAAACAATCTATTTTTTGTCGTATTTCCTTTAAAATCGACTACTTGATTATCTTTGAAAAATCAAAAATAATCGATTAATTAAAAAGCAAATTAACCGATAAATCAGTGTTTCCAAAAATTAAAAGAATTATCGTTTATTTTAAATAATCGATTATTTTCAAATAATCCATTTTTTTGTCCATTGAAATAGATTATTCGATAATCTTTGAAAAATCGAAAATAATCGATTAATTAAATAAAAAGTCAATTAACTGATAAATCGATTTTCAAAAAAACCGAACTATCGATTATTTTCGATCAATCGATTATTATCAATAATTTATTTTTATTGTATTTCCTTTAAAATCGATAATTCGAATATCTTTGAAATACCGAAAATAATCGATTATTCCAAAATAATCGCTTAATCGAAAATAACCAATTAATTAAGAAGCCGATTCTACGATAAATCTATTTTTCAAAAAAATAACCGAATTATCGATTATTTTCTAATAATCCTTTTAATATTTTAGTTAATCCTTTTCTACGTAGATGTAGCTACACTCTTTAACCACCATATTTTGTCCATTATATCGCAAAAATCGGCCAGCTAAATAATATACGCAACATATTTCTATTTTATGTTTTCAAATAAGTTGGTCTGGTGAAAAAGATTTGTCAACACCGCATATTTATAGAAATATATTATTAGGCAGTCTACCAATTCTTTAGCGAGGCTTTTCTCGTTTACGGTGAATTCAATATTTAGCTGTCTAATTAGTGTCGCAGCAGGTACTTGGGATAATCCGATTAAATAATAATCATAAGAATTTCTTAGTAGCACTGACCTTCCCTAATCTATTATAAATAGGTAGGTATATTTACCCCTATTTCCAAATAATGATTGAAATAAATAAGTATATATGGGTGTCCCGAAATTAGACGGTCATATTTTAACAGCGTAATCTACATCCTAAAATAAGAATAAAAGTTCATATAAACATAGGTCCGAAAACGTTTCGTTTTCGAGATACAGGGTGTTACAAGTAAAGTCCTGATGGCCTATTTTTGTAAATATTTTTTAAAATTTCTTTAGTCACCGGTTTTCCAAAGTACAACAAAAAAAAAAAGACAAAGAGTTGTATTTTATAACGTTTTATCAAAACCATTATAAAAATTTAAAAATATACATGGTGATATTCTTTTTCAGCAGAAATCTAATAAAATTATATAATAACGCTGGATACACGCTAAAAGGTCCAAAAGATAATTTATTAAAATAGTTTTCGGACATACATTTTTAGAACAAAAATTGTGTATTTTAACTTCTCCTACCATCCTAAAAGATTGTCGGCATATATATGTGTTTAGGGTGCTCTATTTAAAACGAACATTTTTTTTTTGTTTCGCTAACACATGAAAATTTTGTTCCTTTTATCGAAGAAAAATTTGAGCCCGTAATTTTGATTTTAAGTGGTTCCTTTCGATCGATGTATATTTCCCATTTAAATAACATATAGACCATGATTTTTAAAATTTAAATTAATATAGCTCCGTTTGATTTCATGGTAATCCATTGCGATTAGTCCGAATTTGTAGTATATTAGTGACTTCATAGTGTTCACAAATAAAAAAAAACACTTAGGCAAGCAGTAGAAGAAAAATCTACAATGTGCTTGGAAATAAAAAATAATATGCTGTCGTTAAAGCGAAATCATAACTACTATTACCAAGTGAGAATTTGAAATCATTTGCCTGAATATTTTTTCATCTTTCAATATTTTTATATTTGCACGAAAATAAAATTATTTAAATGTGTTTTTAGCGTTAAATAAAAATAATAGTAGCAAAAACGACTGAAAGCCAGAGAGGCCATTTGAAAAGAATATTTTGTTATTTATTTACATCTTTATTGAATTAAATAAAGCTTCTACTGGATACTTAGAAATTTTTCATTTTATCCTTCCTAATAAAAAACATTTTTGAAGAGTAAATGAAAGAGGCATGAGTGTTATTTTAACTAATTTTTTTTTGAAACCATGAACTGGACCAAAAAGATATCGGTGTCACTGATAGCCTAATAAATATATTATTACATTACTGGCCTTCAAAGTAGCATCACTTTATTGCATTGCTGAATATTTCTCTCATGATAGTTAACATATTGAATAACCAATTCATGCCCATTTTGCCGAATTCACACTTTATTTACAAAAAAAACTCAGCATACATTAAAAAAATTACATTTTTAACCAATTTTTTTACAAACTTTTGTTTTTCCTCGTATAAAGACATTTATTTTAAATATTGGTTAATTTAGATTTTAACTTTAGACAAAGCACCCAATTTTATTAAAAATTCGTCTTAATAAGGAAACGTTAAAAAATGAGTCTCCCTGTATATATAATTTATATTTGTGTAAATTGTAAATAACCATAATAATATAGTTTTGTCTAAATTCAAGACAATTTTAAAATATGGCAACCCGGCGCCGAAGCTTTCGCTACTTTTGCTCCATCGGACATCTATAATTTAGGTCCTGAACTAAAAAGCAACATGGATGCAGTGAAATTATCAATTATTTTAGATGACATCGTATTTTGTACAGAACTTAAAAAGTACGCAACATTGATTATTAAAATTTGGCAAGAATATTCAAAAAGATATGTAGAATGCTATAAAGTTTTTTGAACTACATCTGTGACTATCACTGCAAATAGCAGGACAAATGAAAATGTCTCATTTTAATCATTAAACATTTTTCTATAAGCTGCCAAAGTTTCACTAAAATCCATCCAGTGAAAAATAAATTCTGTAAAAAATCGTAAACCTATGTTTTGACCACGTAAAATACACTGAAATGGCGACCTTAAGATTTAAATATCACTTTCGATTTGACCGCAAATAAGATGGACCTTGAAATTTTAAGTAGGTCATCCTGTATTTCATCTAATATTCTTATAAAAATACATTATAAAAATAAAATTTAGCTAGAAACTATGCTTTTTTACTTCTTATTTATCTACCAAAAAGGGCTAAAAACCACGTTTAGTAAATATTCTTATAAAAGTATTTTTTAAAAATAAAATTTCGTTAGCAACAATGCCTAGTTATTTAAATTAAATGTTCAAAATGTTACCCTTTTGTAAATTTATGTAAGTAATATGAAATATGTTTTCTGAAATATTTATTAAAACCCCTTAATGTGGATCTGAAGTATTCAGCCCAAAGGATCATGGCGCCTTATGTCAAAACGTTAATAAATATTTACCGCTGAAAACGAATATATTTTTTATCTTTCATAACATCGATACTTGTATTATAAGTATATACAATTTTTCAAGATACATCGTGGCATTTTGAACCTAAAATTGAATAACTAGAACACTTTAAATTGCTAAAACACAAACAAATAAATCAAAAAACAGCTGTCAATGGTGATTGAACTCAGGCGGAGGTGAGCGTTGAATGGAAAAATCGGAGCAATTCGGGTGGCGTCGTGCAAACAATGATTTTCAATTGGTGGGTTACTTGGGGTTAAAATAGACAACATGCGCAGTGTGCAATGTTACATCTTCGGTCTCTTTAATCTAAGGGTTATATCTAGAGTTGGGTGATTATCAAAATGATTATTCGATTATTAAAAATATTTTCGATTAATCGGCTACTTAAAAATATTCTATTTTTTTTTTAATTAATCGATTATATTGAAATAATTATTTCTGATTAATCGATAATTTATCGATTATATATCACTAGCATACAGCAAGTTAGTTAATAGTTGTAGAGTTTGAAACTAGTATGATATTGAACCGAAGTTACAAATAAAATTATTGGAAAAAATTGAACACTCATTTTAAATTACCACAAGCCGCGCCACTGCCGAAAATTAGTAGTGTTGCTAGTATTATGAAAAAACCTCGTATGATCCTCGGCCTGTAAATATAATTTATGCCGATATAATTATAAGATTAAAGTTTGCAGTATAATTTGACACATGTGGAGCAGAATATTCTATGGCACCCATCGTAATGTACCCTACGTGTAGTAAAAAAATAATATTTTAAATAATATATTGTATACTTACAAAATAATATAGGGACTAGAATAAAAATCTGCGCTGAAAAAATCGTCATCTTATTTCCTGAAAAAGAAATATTGCTTTAATATAAGACACTCAAATTAACAATAACAAAAATGTGGAATTAATTTAATTAATACAAGTAAGTACTTGATATCCATTGTTTAAATTTATTGTTTGAGATAAAAGATTTATTTAATCAGACTTCACGCAATATTAACGATTTGTGAATTACTTTTTGATATCTTAATGATTAATACTGATTGGGTAATAAATTTACAACCTGGTGAGTACATTTTGGATTTATTGTTTTTACAGATTGATGTTATTAAGGTTGGACTTGGGTGAAAATGTCACTCTATGCCAAAATCGCGAATGAAATTGTAGATATTTTAAAAGTTATGTTCTTAGTATACTGGGGTTGTATCCTAAAACCTATACGCCTTCAAATATTGGGAACAAAAATTAATGAGAAAAATAGTTAAGAGCAAATAATAGAAATTCCAAATTACCCCCGGCCCTCCACCAGCTTCAATCCAGCCCGCGAGAGATTCAGAAAATTCAAATAATGCGCAAAAAAATTAGTTAGCAGACATAGTTTATTTGTAATTGTATTAAACGTATGCAGTATAACGCCACTGTATTCTTTAACTCATTATGACTAAAATCGATAAATAATATTATTAAGCGTACGCAGTGGAACGCTACAGATCGTGTCAGAAATAGTCATTAGAAAGAATCGAACGGATAAACATTCGGGAAGCGCTCGCGTACGATCGAGAGTATTCTGGTTGCTTATTGGAGGTAATACATAAACAGCTCAGCGCGCATCACCTTATTACTTCGATCGAGAATACGACGCGGGAAATATTCAAGCAAAAACATGTCTGGTTTAAAAAAGCGAAATGAGAACACCGAATGATGAATACTTTTCTATCTTGCACAGTGGTAAACCTATGTGTTTGTTGTGCAATGAAACAATTTCTGTTATAAATAAATACAATATGAAGCGGCATTACTCCAGCAAGCATTTTGCTCGATATAATTCACTCATGGGCCAGTTAAGAAAGGATAAAATTAAAAAACTCATTACCGCAATATCTCGCATACGGTTTTCAACTGCTTCCCATGTAGCTTGTTGCCAAGCGGAAGTTTTCGGATTATTTGAAATTACGTTAAACGGCAGTTTGCCAGAGTTGGATTTGATTTTAATTATTTTATGTAATTGAAATTGATTTTTATTTTACGTAAGATTTTTAGATTATAGAAACAACAGATACATTTATTTACCTTTAAACCCGGTCATATATTGCAAAAACGTAGCGCGTAACGATTTCGTAAAAGAACTGACATGTGTTGCCTGGTGCGCTGTTGCCAGGCTATGTAGTTTATCCCTTTCATATTTAAAAATAATTACTCACTAATAGCAACAAGTTTTATTAATTATAATAGTTTTGATATATATTGCCACACATCAAGCGTCCCCACCAATTCATTTTCGTATATAGTACAGTGTTTCCCACTTAGAGGCATTAGGGGGCAGAGTTGTTGCAGGGCATTTTTGTACATATCGTTTTTACATACATACGCCTGCTAAATAACAACTTTACAAATACTAAGTTAAACTATGGCAAACACCATTAATAGGCTTGCAAATAATGAATGGATTTAAAAATGTTAAACGTGACACCACCGCAATTGAAAATAACCTTGTTTCATTCATACTATACGCCACGTATAGTATTTTATCGATCGATAGTTTGGGACGTTGCCATACAGTAAATTGTTCCATATCGGGTGTTTTTGTTGATTTTTAGACTTTTTTGGAAATATTTCGGCTTATAGTTTTAGCACAAGAATAAATAATAACCAGAAGGATATCTCTCATTTAATTCCTTTGTAGTTGATGCCGACGAGTTATGACCTCGTCTTTTAGTTATTACTTGTATTCCATAGGCGCACCGAAAAAAAGGCCAGGAAAATAAAAAAAAATATTGGGTAGCTATTAATTTATTTTTTAAGTTCATACATTACAAATATTGGTAAGTAAAAGATTTATATATATAAAAAAATATTTACTTATCTTATCAAATGACAATCTTTTTGTCTTTTATAGTTTTAAAATTTTGGTTAATACATTTAAGAGTATAAAATAATCTTACTCTACCGAATAAGTTTATTAAAAAATTATGTGGAAATTTTTCACATGGATGTGAAAAACTTGTATTTCTACAAATACTTTGAAACGTATCTATTACATTTTATAATAATAGTTTCAAAATTTATTTGAAATATTACCTCTAAAAAGGAGATAAATTTTACAAAATCATTGTGTAAAATGTTTAAGTTACTTTTATTTTCCTATTAATCCCATTCAAATAAGGAATGTATACCTAAGAGTACAGAGTGATCAGTAGGGTCGAGGTCCTAATAACGTGAATATCGTCGTATACATTTTTGAACCTTTTAATTTTGTATTATAATGATTATAAACATCAATTTAGAAGAATTCTAGTTAAAAGTCAGTAACCTTTCAACTCATTTTAGTCCATTATTGGATTTATTTAAAAGTAAACAGGTTTCAAGCTTTCACAATCCGTGATTATTTGAACAATAATTAGTATAGATTTAAAAGGTATTTTGTAAATAATGATAAAAATGTCGTTAGACAACAATACCTATAATGTTTTAACCTTTTTAGTTTATGTACCTTACTTGTGGTCGAAATCATCAAGACATGTGAAATTCAAATAAACATGTAACAATCATTTATTATTGATTGGGTATCATATTTTTCATGAAATACAATTTACAAGTGTCATTTCCATGCTAGTTTTTTTCCGAAATTAAAGATACAAGTAAAAATCGGTATTCGATTCTTTTTGTTTTCAGTAAAAAAAATTATAACAATTAGGTATGCCAAATAAATGGTTGCCCGTGGGTTGTGACCAGTTATGATATGGCAACCTTGTGGGCAGTGGCGGCTGGTCCACAATGACACAACATAGGACTGAGTACAGTTGTAGGCCAAAAACTTTTAGTGTTTATTAGTATTAGTGTTTCTTTTTTAATATTCTTTTTCCTAATAAGATATAATTCTGCAGTCAAAAAAATATTGGTTACTGAAAAAATGTGTAAGAGGCCATTTGTGTTCTTACAATTTTTTTTTAGATATTTGAGTTTTAAACGTGTTTTTATTAATATTTTTACTAGTTAATTTTATTAAAAATATTATTATTCAAAAATAGGTTCAATTAAGGACATTTTAACGGATTTACGTCTCAAATTTATAACATAAAAAGAAGCAGACATTTGTGACAAATCAGACAGAAATGAATCTTTTGCTTCCTTGTGGTGACATGTCCTTTGTCAACTTTATACTCAGTAAATACTGCTGATTACATACTTTGATTTTCTTTTACTATACGGAGAATGGTCGCACTGCGCAGCTTTCTGAGTGCCTTTTAAAAGGAGATAGAAAACTCCGCCATTTTGAACCCTTATTACGTGTTGCCTACATCTTGGTGCAATATTTTTAATAGGTGCGTTTTAATCATCAGCTTCTGCTTCGGAATTGTCGGTTTTCTTGTTTTAATCTGACAGGTTAAAACACATACTTTGATTTTCTTTTACTATACGGAGAATGGTCGCACTGCGCAGCTTTCTGAGTGCCTTTTAAAAGGAGATAGAAGACTCCGCCATTTTGAACCTTTATTACGTGTTGCCTACATCTTGGCGCAATATTTTTAATAGGTGCGTTTTATTCATCCGCTTCTGCTTCGGAATTGTCGGTTTTCTTGTTTTAATCTGACAGGTTAGAACGACTGAACCGACAATTCCGGAAGCAGAAGCGGATGATTAAAACGCACCTGATATTTTGCTTGCTGCTGTCAGTGTCAGTAAATATTATTTTTGGAGTCACAGTTTATTGCTAAAGAATCAGTAAGCTCACTCGGACCAGTTGAAAGTTCCAAAATAACATCCACTACAGGGATACAAATTTAGGATACGCAGAAGACTGCTGTTTTATTATAGGCGGTTGTCATATATTGTATTATCTGAGTTGCGCAGTCTATAAACTGGAACATTGAGATAAAAAGTGCCGACGCAGAGTGAGCGATCTGATTCTTTAGCTACAAACTGTGTCATAGGGTTCAAAATGGCCACGCCACTGATCTGTATTATTTTACTGGATAGGATATAGGCTATATTTAACACACTAAAAATCCGTTCCACCAAGGAGACCGGAAGTGCAACACTGCTGGCCGATTTGGGCAAATTAAGGTGTGATCACAGAACTGAATTTTGGGATAATTTGACATACCTAACCTATAATTTGATTAGTTTTTCTTCTTATTTTTCTTCTATTCCTTCTGCGGGCAATGTCCTTCGGGACAATTCACCTATAATTTGATTTTTTTATGAAAGAAAATATAAAAATGGAAACGTGAAGCATATTGTGTCTTCACGAATGAACGTTTATTGTTTATATCATAATAATGCTATCCGATACTACCTAAATAAATAAAAAAAAACGTGTCGTCGTAATTTTTTGACACAATTAAATGACAAATGTGATGACAAATGGAAATAGAGGTTATGTTAAATAACATCCGGTCCGCCATATTTTTTGCCCAAATCGGCCAATTTTTCGGAACGTTTTTTAGGGTGCTATATCCTATCCAGTAAAATAATTCAGATCAGTGGGCCACGCCCTATGTTGGGCGTGTCGGACCTCTCTCTTGCCCCGTATAGTAATCAAAGTATGTGGGTTAAAACGAATAAATCGACAATTCCGGAAGCAGAAGCGGATGATAAAAACGCACCTGATATTTTGCTTGCTGCTGTCAGTGAATATTATTTTTGAAGTCACAGTTTATTGCTAAAGAATCAGTTAGCTCACTCGGACCAGTTGAAAGTTCCAAAACAACATCCACTCCAGGGATACAAATTCAGGATAAGCAGAAGACTGCTGTTTTATTATAGGCGGTTGTTATATATTGTATTATCCGAGTTGCACAGTGTATAAACTGAAACATTGAGATCCAAAGTCCCGACGCAGA